TCGTTCAGGAAGCAGAAAAATGTGAACTATAATTTGTGTCGAAAAATGTGCAGATCTATCGGCTTGGGTCACCCGAATCCTATTTACACGTTACACCCTGTCCGGTTTACGACACTACATTCAATAAATGAGTGGGTTGAGATGACCCACTTTGTTGTGTAATTGATTTGTACAAAATTTACGTTTTTCTGAAAATATTACTATTTCTTGGTCATCCTGGCTTGGCAAGGCCTTCAACCTTTCTCTCTCATACCCAATTATTTATCTGAATGCTCATCATGAGCAGGTTGCTCTAGAATGTAGCTATTAATAGAATATTTATTCATCAGCTAGATTATGTATGTTTCAACATTGACATATAGGAGCCACGTGGCAGCCATGAGCCACATTTGGCGCCTATATAGCCACTCCTGCGCCATATGCGACATAATTAATTAAGGGTAGTGGCGTACTGATGCCACTCCTAAATCACACGCTCACGAGGAGGGTTTTTTCATTCTTGGTGAGACTTCAGCAGCTCATATGTAAAAAACGAGATCCTATTACTTAAGCTCTAAATTGAATTTGAATCAATATCTAAGTTTCTGGTTTAGTCTGCCACGACTTCAATAAACGGGTCCTAAATAACCAGGCAAGTTAAATCAGTTTAGGGCTTTTTTGGTAACCGACTTTAAGGAAGTTTTGGGAGACAAAATTGGGGTTGACGAGGCTCAGAGAAATAGGGTATATAATCAGGAGGTTGATGCAGGATAGATTGCAATTTTATTAGGGTATAGTTATAGAATAGGAGTGCATGGTCTGCAGACTAGACGGCGAAAGCATGACGTCGAGTCAAGACAAGCAAACACTAATGAAATACAGTGAAGAAATATGAGATGTTCTTCGTGTGTGGACGAGACCTGTGAACAAAATTCACAAGTTAATGTACAAGTTAATCTTCGAAACTTCAATGTTCGGACCATTAACTATTAAGATGACTAAAGCAACAAATGTTAGATTCACTACGTAAGAGATTCAACTCTCACATAATTCAATTTATTAATTCAGTTCCTCTCATAAATAACATCACAAAATAGTTTCACTGAAGGTTAACCGAAAATATAAAATGGAACTTTGAAACAGCGAGTAAAAAATGGGGCAGAGCTCTTCAATGAAAGAAGTCATGATAAGAGGAAAGTCCGGCGAAATATAGGGGGAGAATAATTAAATTACTGTGAACTGAGGTTCAGCTTCTCAGTGACTAATATTGAGAAGTCTAGTCAGCAATGATGACTGCGTCTAGAAGCAAAATTTTCCAATAAATACTCTGAAGCTTATCATGAAAATCGACTCATATGTATTAGAAAGTACAATAGGAACGCAAGCACAAGACAAACGCTGTTGCGGAGAAAAAGTTGAAGTTTTTACAGTTAGGAAAGCGCGCGTCTGAACGAGGTCACATCAGAGGTGAATCAAAACCCTAGAGAATAAATTACAGAACGAGCGCGTAACTATATAGAGGCCTGTGGGTGCAGTGCATGATGAGGAAATAAAGCTCTCAAATTCATCTGCTTTGCGAGCGCTATATATAGGCCAGAAAGGCCTATATATTCATATAGATAATCTTAAATAATTTCAGCTTCCGGACGAATCCCGTAGTTTGGAGGTTGATAGCGCTATCAACCTCTAATCTACAGGATTCGTCCGGACGCTGAAATTATTTTCTGAGTAATTCTAAGCATATATATTAAATTATATCCACTATACCATTGATATGTACTACTGCCATTTCCAAAGTTTATAGTTTACTGTTTAGTGTCATTTCTACTGTTTTTCTCTGTTTTTTAGTTATGCAAGTTGTTTAAACCTCAACGGTTCCAACAAGTCGGAACAAATTCGTTATTACATGGTAGAAACACTAAAATAAAATGTATTCAACGTGTTACACGAACACGTGAAATCAGTAATTGGTCCTCCTAAATTTACGATTACTGAAAAAATTATACTAATAATTGATTGATGCATTGGTCGAGTACCATTCTGAATTGAGCTGGTGATCCTTACGGAATAACTCGACCTTGGCCACAACCAAGCTTGCTCAATGTTGTCATTCTATTACATTTCTGAACCAACAGCGGCGTCAACTTCTCGGGACCCAATGTGTATGAACTTCTCGTGATCCAATTAATGATCTACGCGGGTGAATACAAAACCAACGGACTTATTCGTTTTGACTACGCACGTGTCTAAGATGTAAGTTACCTTGTTCTTTGATAACAATATTAGTTATTATGCCAATTTTCTATTCTTGTGCATGTTTCAGATGAGAATAATTAATGGAAAACTTACACTGAGTGCTTCAATAATATGTCCGCAACGTTAAACCATAATATTATGTATACATATTATTTATTGGCATTACGTTGGCCATGATCAATTTGGGACGAAGTTTTGCCAATATAATTCTAGGAATCTAGCGAAACGAGGAAAACTTGACAATTAGAATTCGCTGCCTTACTCCCATCATTTCAAACCAGCAATAAATGAATAAACAGGCGTCATTACATGTGGAACATCCATAATAATTGTGTTTAGATCCTAGAAAACTCTTTAGCGACAGATTAAATATCACCTCTAGGCTATACAGATGTACGAGCTCGGTCTGGCCGACAACTCCATCAGGTCTGTGGCGCGGGGCTGCCTCAGCGAGCGCGTGCTGGGCCATCCCGGCCAAGACGCCACCAACTGAACAGATGCGCTATAAGCTTACTGTACTCATGAAGAATGCATGTGCGTTACAAAAAATTTGCTCGATGGACATTTCGTGATTTAGATTACGAATTAGTGATGCCCTGAAATAAGAGCTGCTCAAAGTAATCATATAATCGGCATTTTTGTACATTTTAGATTCACTGAGTGATGGCAACAGGAAAATGCAGTAGGTAAAATTGGTTATTAAATCGCTTATCTGGCACCATTCTGAGCAGGCGGGGGCTTTCCTAATCCGCCTCTTAGAGTCAGCCGTACCGCTCCAAGGTTGCCAAAGAATTCATGGAGACTGATCAAGATGTTATATCATTATGCTTTGATCAGTGGAAGCGAATGAAACACAGAAATGGAGCTGCTACGATACGTGCCAAGATGGCCTACGTCAGCCATGGGGCGGAATCTGCCCGGCGCGTTAATTGTGACATTTTACGTCTCTATATCAAACCCTTCTGCTTCGTCGTTCATCTCACACGTCTCAACGTCGGTCCTATAGCTGCAATAGCCGACTGTCCTATAGCTGCAACAGCCGACTTTCCTATAGCTGTAACAGCCGATTGTCCTATAGCATCAACAGCCGACTGTCCTATAGCTGCAACAGCCGACTGTCCTATAGCTGCAACAGCCGACTGTCCTATAGCTGCAACAGCCGACTGTCCTATAGCTGCAACAGCCGACTGTCCTATAGCTGCAACAGCCGGCTGTCCTATAGCTGCAACAGCCGACTGTCCTATAGCTACAACAGCCGACTGTCCTATATAGCTGCACCAGCCGACTGTCCTATATAGCTGCAACAGCCGACTGTCCTATAGCTGCAACAGCCGACTGTCCTATAGTTGCAACAGCCAAGTCTGGAATGAAGGCCTTTACAGTCACTTAACCACGTAGTCGAATTCACGTAGTTTTAATTTTGAGCAGTTTTAGAGCCAGGAAAACGGCATTAGACAGGCAAATCGCGTTTTGATTTTTTCACAGCAAAAAAAAAAATTAATTACGACCATTATTGAATTCTCGGGAAACATCTCCTGAATGGCACGTGGACTCTGCAACTTAACAGTCCATAAAAATGTATCTTTTATACTCCAGAGTAAATATTGCCTCTTTACTCCAGTAATACAGACGCTCTGTATGGTGTTGTCCATCTGCACCACGCTGAGGTCGGGCCCGCACTCGGTAAGCTGGTATAGTGGTGACCGGTGAAGTTGAAGTCGGCTTAACCTGTCAGTTACCGGATATCATTCGCTCCAGCAGCTCCTAAAAAAATAATTATCAATGACTCCATTGACTAATCACTAAAATAAAATCACTCCATTGACTCCAATAAAAACTTGTCAGTACTAATCAGTGATGAACTACTGCGATCATTGATGTTCAAATTAAATGAGAGAATCTGACTGACATGTCTTGAGCACCAAATTATTTAATACGATTCTGAGAAGCAAAATAAATTAGACGTGAAAATAAAGAATACTTCAAACGTAGGAGCTAGATTATGTTACTTTTTCTTAGAATGATCACCGAGACCAACACCAGAAAGCAGCACATTTGCAAAAAACTTCATTTTAATAGTTCTAGCGAGAAAAACGAAGACTGTAGGTTTCGAGACCCTTTATCAAAGATTCCGATGACATTACAGTCATGTTAATAATAGACTTGGTGGAGTGTCTTGGGAATAATAGATTAACAGTACATATATCACAATTCCCACGAGTTGCGAGATAATCGAGAAACCACAAACATACCACAGTATATATGAAGCTCTATCAATTCATTTTTTAATGCAGTATATTTGCAGTGAAGTATGTTTTCATGCAACTGAAAACTAGCTAACGAAGAAATCTTGAGTCACCACTTATCGTCAAAACCAAGACTGAACCACAACCGGTCGGTCGAATGAAGACTCATAATCATTTATCTAGGTAGCCGTTTGTCAATTAAACACGTTTTCTACCAGGTGCGTTCTAAAATTATTTCGCAACTTTGCAAGAGGTCAGATAGTAAAAATTAGGTACAATGCGTCATGCAATCTCAGTAAAAAATTATTTATAAGTTACTAAAATGATACATTTGCGGCTCTCGTTAGTATATGGTGATATACGAATAATGCTACCAAATCTTGTCAAGAAATTTTAGTGATATCTTTCCCTTCACTGCAGTGATCTCATTCGCTATAATCTACTCATGAGAAGTATGACATCTGTACAGATTGCCGCCTTTTCTCAAGACACTCAACGTAGTACGATTTAGTTCTCTGCCTGAACCTTTGCCTTTTGCTTCACCTAAGCATTTGAAACTTTTTCTTCGTCTGAACCTTCGAAACTGCCAACGTTCGGTAGTTTGTATTGAAACAATATCAAAATGAAGTTCATAGAGTTATGGTGTTTTTTAGCTTTCATCACTTCAAGCATTCTGAATGAAAAAGGTAACACAAATAGGTTATTTTTTATGACTTTATATTTTCTTCCCTGCTAAATTTTTGCTTTCAAGAATACACAATAAAGATGCACTCAATCCGTGTCAATGTTTTCTCTCCTCTAGTTTCACCGATGAATATTTTTCATGAATAGTAAGTAAGTGGTAGTTTCTCTTCATTGCAGGAGTTGCAGGAGCTGGTGATTTCCGGTACGTGACAGGGTACGCCGGCCTCAACTACACCGGAGACTACTACCAGTTCACCGACTACACGCCCGACCTCAGCGTCGTGCAGATGGACAACACCATCGAGAGTGGCTGTGGTATTGGATTGTGAGTGAAGTCGAGAAATTTCGCCTCTTAAACCTATTTGCATAAACAAGCTATACAGGAGCATAAACACTGGATGTTGCTGACTGTCCGGGTTGACATGATCCCGTTGAGAAATCCAAGTTTTGGACTGTTCATCCATGCAAAAATAACATTATCTGAATATCAAAAATCAGTTCACTCATGGGAGCACAAAATTTCAGGTGGCTGCTCTACGACGCAGTGAACTACGACCCGCTCGCCGATGAAAGTGAATGCACATTTCGGTCAATTGGCGAGTGCCGAAATTGGGACTTTCAGTGCCGAAACATGGTAAGTAAAATTTATATAGACGTTTTAAGAAATTTAATCATACCATAAGTTTACAAGTTTTTCTAGTATTATCTGACTTTGAAGCATGACTTGGTATGGATTTGTCATGCACAGAAACAAACACTCCACGAAATTATTCCAAAGAATCATTATGCTTAGTGTACAAGTCCATTACAAATTCCATTATAAAAATGAAAATTATTCCCTTACAGTGATTTGAGGCAGATTCTGTTTCATAAGACTGATTTACCCTCAGATATCGTCGCTGAGATACGCAGGAAGTCCGTACGGCCTTAACGACAACTACTACAACCTGTACGAAGGGACTCTCTTCAAGGGCAGGGAGTTCAGAGGCAACACAGACGCCGCTGATTTGGGGGATTTGGACATGGCCGTGTCGTCTCTCATCGTGACCGGACAGTCGGGGTGGACGTTCTACACGTTAGTCGTGCCAATATGCGGCGATGATATTGGAGTTTGAAGCACTATCGATACTTTGCTTAGATACTCAACGATAAATTTGAACAATATCGTGTAAAAACATCCTGATGCGTCAAATTTTGATAATGATACACGCTACTCTAAGTAAAGATTAATATTGTTCGATTATTTCTTTTCATGTCAGAGGAAGAAGCAGATCAAGTATAGTTTATATAAAACACTCGTCACACATTTTTACCTCAGTAAAGCTAACCCCGGTAGTGCTCGATTTATATAACCAAAATGATGGCAAAATCTGAACTTTGCCATGTGAGGAGACAGGCAGTGAACAGCAAGTTTCAAGCAGTGCTTAAACTTAATTTAGCTCCAATGTTCAGTTATATTCGAAGATCAGAATGATCTCTAACTAAACCACTTGACCTATCCACTTCCGAGCTTACGCAACGTAAGCTCACTCTATGTTGGTTCACTAAAAAATTTTGGAACCAACAGCGACGTCAACTTCACGGGATTCAGCGCTTGCGTGTACGCGGATGAACATTACACTAACGGGGACATCGTTCATGACTACGCACGTGTCCAATATGTAAGTTATCATGATCTAGTTAACGATGTAAGTTACTATATTAACTTCAACTTTCTACAGTTTTATATATGCTTCCAATGTGATAACTCTCTGAAAAACCTGAGAAGAGCGTCTCAATCGAATGTCCGTTACTTTACTCCAATATCATGAGCACCGTTCTTATATAGTTACTGAGCAGAGATCAAGATCGGATTTATCGAGCGTCTGTTTATACATTCCAGGAATCTTGCGAAACAAGGAAATGCTCGCATTTAAGATTCGATGCCATACCTTCATCCTTTCAAATGATCAATCAATTACTAAATACGCATTATTAGAACTGAAGCATTCATTATAATATGATCTGTTGAACCAGATCATATTATATTGGATCTGCTGCACCAGATTTCTGTAAGGCAATAATGGCATGGTCGTACAGATCTCTGGTGCAACAGATCCACGCTTTTCTCTACAGATGAGTCAGCTCGGTCTGCCCGACAACTCCATCAGGTCTGTGGCGCGGGGCTGCCTCAGCGAGCGCGTGCTGGGCCATCCCGGCGGTGAACGCAGCGGTCAAGACGCCAGCGACTGAACAGATGCGCGTGGTGTTCCATGCACGCGTGTGGTTCACATGCATATAGTAGATTACAGTAGAATACACGCCAAAAGTATAACGTAAGCATATCCGTTGCATGGGTGCGGTATACTAGTGTTGAGATAAGGTAGTGCGTCATGATGACCCACTTAAATGTGTTAACTGAACTTTTTTGAATATGGGAATACTATCCACTCACTCGCTCGCTTGTGTGGCGGCATTGAATCACCTTCGAGTGACAAGACTAGGTCATTAAGTTCCTCTAAAGGCCAAGTGGGTCATAAATTATGTTCATTCATGGTCAAGCCACTCGCTCATCCATGTTAAATATTCTGACTCACTCGATTCTGATCCACTCTTCATTGGCGTGTGAGCTTCTTGCCTGCTATCTCATTTGATCGGGCGTTCATCTAATTGCAATCAATTTACAATTTTTTTTGTATTACTTTCTGAATACTTAAATTACAATATAAACGATTATTATTCGAGCTTTATAGTACATATGACGTCCCGTTGTTCCATTTTCAGGTTTTCAGAGTGTTTTAGAATTACGATTTAAGTGCTCACCATAATTATTTGTAGGATTGTTTGTTTTGTTTTTTTTCTAACCCTTATGAGGTTGTAGAAATAGTTGATAGTGTATTGGTAGGAGACGTTCGTTAATGAAGACCTAATTTAGAGGATTAAATAACCAGACCCAGGCTCAGTTTATATTTTAACACGAAATGGGCAATTCTATGCAAAACAGGAGCCAACGTTTAGAGTCAACTTCAGCGAAGCTTGAACTCAGTGATACTCCATGAGAGGGGCAACTGTGTAGACTGTAGAACTAGGCACCCAGCAGAGATTAATTTGCGCCCCACCATTAAATCGCAATCTCAACAACATTTCTGTCACTGCGGTTGATAAAAGCAATTCACTTTTTCGAGTGGCTGATGAATGGCCTGCGGTCGGTCGTAGGAGCTCACCAATTAAGCAAGGCATTCAGCACACTGGTTGATACTACAACGTACAAGAGGCTGTGCTCGAAGGATGCTGCTGCTAATACCTTCAGACCTCTGTTGGTGACTGTTAATTGGATTCTGCACAGGTTTGGAGCGTGCTGAAGGCGGCGAGAAAGCTAGGAGAATCCATTGAGGACATGTCCGTTTTTGTAAAGGATTCCACTTCTTCAGAGAGAGCGGATTTTCGCAAGAAATAGCAGGGGAGAATCGGACGAAAAAGCACTGAAAATCAGGTCAACCACTCTCTAGAAGTCAGGACAACACCGGCCGTTCACGGTCAGTCAGAGGAGCAGGAAGACAATTAAACAGTAGGAGCCATGTCCACAGATCCAGGCCTGTAAATAATGTAGGAAGTAACCGCCTACATCAAAGTGAAAGTGCGCAAAAAGTTTTAAAATGTATCTGCACGAACTCGGATTCCATTTTGAACAAAAAGTGGACTGTTTACTGTGATTTCGAACGAGTGTATAAACATTATTTGTATTCCTTAATTACTGAAACACTCCATAAAAATCATGGGGGGGGGGAAATTGTACCGGTTGAATTTCAGTTGCCAGGTTTTGATTGTTTTCATAACTTACACGAGGAGCAGTGCAGTAGAGATGTAAGTCTGTAGGTTAGAACCTCTAATGGGGCCCAGCAATCTTTCCAGACCACCAATCAGCTTGGGAATCTATGTGGTGAGAACTTTCTCTATAAGGCAAGGATAGCCTCCTCATAGGCGTCGTATATAGATGACCAAACAGTTCCTCTGATAATGATGAAGTAATGAACAGCCTTCTACCATGCATGACTTTCAGTAGGTCGCATACGTTGATCATAGGTGACCAACCATCCAGAAATAGACTGAGAAGATGAATCCTCTCCAGGGCCTATACTTTCAAAAAAAGTTAAGAGATCGTCCGCCTGAACCATGGACTCCAGTTGCGCTAAGTCTGTGCCATTCGGGTTTCTCTTGTCAATGTATCTACGTTTTCTCGTTTCGTAACGTGCACTTTTGTTCTGTTTAAGTCACAGTGCAGCGTCATTTTATAATGGGCTGTTGATCGAGTTTTGAAAATATATATATTTAGATTACCAATGAATCCTCTCCAGGGCCTATACTTTCAAAAAAAGTTAAGAGATCGTCCGCCTGAACCATGGACTCCAGTTGCGCTAAGTCTGTGCCATTCGGGTTTCTCTTGTCAATGTATCTACGTTTTCTCGTTTCGTAACGTGCACTTTTGTTCTGTTTAAGTCACAGTGTAGCGTCGTTTCATATTGGGCTGTTGATCGAGTTTTGAAAATATATATATTTAGATTACCAATAAATTAATGTAGCGAGTAACTTATTTTCGCGTTATCAGGTTGTTCGGGTATCTAGTATCTCCTATAGGAACGTTTATGCTGAACGTTGATTAATGTTATGTTATTCCCAGGATTTTCCGTCAATTTTATCTCCTCTCGCGTCAAATAGCGTCTTTCCCCCGGGACGTTAAGCGATTATGCCGCGCTGTCTGAAATTATTAATGGTTCGTTTATTATTGTGACAGCGGGTGCAGCAAGCATGCGGCTATCAACGATCTTTTTGAAAAAATTAGCCGCATTTTCTCCGATCTTTCATGAAATCTCAATCGAAAAATAAGTTATGTATATCAAGAATTTCTAGCGGTATGCTCAACGGCCCGAGTTAGTGAATATGTTCTGCGAATACTTTCAAGTCAATTATGTTCGCATCCAATTCAGACAAAATTTATTAAGTGCTGCGAGTTGAATCGTGCTCTGATTTTACTCACAACTCAGTGGCAAGGGTGCTTTCAATTGTGTTGTCCATCTGCACGGCGCTGAGGTTGGGCGTGTGCTCGATGAACTGGTAGTGGACGCCAGTTTAGTTGAGGTCTGCGAATCCTGTGAAGACCGGAAATTACCTGCACCTGCACCTGCAATTCCTGAAACAAAGAAGTATTATAGAAAAGGCTGGAAATTATCTATCATTAATTATCATTATCTATCGATGAGCTTTAATTGCGTAACCAGACTTGGTAAAACTGGCTGCCACTCATTGAGGAACGCTTTTTTGCCGTCGATTATTTAAGCAAAATTGACCTGGCGTGACAGATGGCGAATATTAGAGCCACTTTTTTTGGAAACGAAACTGATTTTGTCACCATTTTCATTTACGAGGTTGCAGTGACAAAAAATTAGTTATCACTAGTAATTTACACTTGCCATTCTGTGCTTGCTCCAACGGAGTTCAACGAACACAGGGGACTTCGAGGGCTTCTACAAGGATCCATGCAGAAGTGTAATCTCGGACATGTTTACTCTCAGGAGAACAGATGATCATCTGTACTGCTGTACAGATTTCACTTCTCGCAGGTAACGGATTGGTTCCATTGTAGAAAAAGATATCACCATGAAATTTTTTAAAGTGAAATGCTAAGCTGTTTTTTTAATAAAGAAATCTTGCATTAGTTGAACTCTTCAATTGTGAAAGTAGATAGATTCTTGCTGGAAACAACCGTCACATACTCCCCGTGTGTGATACCTCTACACTTCTTTGAAAGTTGCTGATTGAAGAAGATTATCATAGGATACTTAATAACGTGCAATCGTGCAGGAACGAAACTTGAACGAATAATGACCAGCATACAAATAACTCGTCAGAACTCTGTTTGCGGAATATTCCCGTACAATAGGTATCGAATACGGAACTACCCCACGAAAACCGAAGCCTCTAGCTTCTACCATTATGCCTTTGGTGTACATTGGTAGGTAGTACATTCGAATTCGAGCTTCGATTGAATTATTGCATTCAATACTGTATGAAAACGCGGGCTTCCCTGAGCAAAATTAAGATGATTCCATACACTGAACTTGCCTTTTATAGAGTTTGTGAAGGTTTCTGGAACGAACATAGAAACTAATACAGGTTGGATAAAAGTCGCTGAACCATTTCAATTTTAAATCACTTTTTTATTTTACAGTTAAATGCATAAAGTTTTAATATCATAAAGTCATGGCGACGAAAATTGATTATCTATCTCAAATGTAATTTTATTCTTATCACAAATTTACTTTTAGTAAGCTTCGGAAATTTAATTTATCGTTAAGTGTGAAAATTTAAGTTCCTGCTTATGCCTTCCATTTTCTGCTTCCCGAATTGCAGCTCTTTCGATTACCTCTGCCATAACCTTTTCCAATGTTCCTGGGCTTATTTCTCTTATTTCTTAAGTGATGTTTTCATTTAGCTCAATTGAAGATTGCTTCTCTCACATTGAAATGCCTGCGATAAGCTCTTTGGGTTTGAATTATTGAGCCTTGATTTTGATAGCAAAATTTAAAATTTGTGCACGTTGGGAGGGTTTGAATTTCTTCATAATTAATCTCCAGAATATGTAAAAATGAAAAATATTAAGATGATATACAAGATTGTGGAATTAATAAGATATTAGAAAACAAGAAGGGTCAGTGAGTTTTGGCCTACCCTTTATAAAAAAACAATCATGGTTCTAAGAACGACATTATATCAGATTAAGGAGAGTTTAGTTAAATAGTTAAATGGCCCAGTGGTTAAAGTTCAGAGTACCAAGATTGGCGCAGAGAGGCGCGGGTTCGATCCCAGCTCTGTGCGCCAGTTTCTGGTCAGAATCGGCAAGGAGGCCGGGCGGTTAAGCATAACAGAATTGTAGCAGTGAGATGAGAGTTCGAGACCGCAAAATGCTGTGAATATTCTGTGGTGTTAAGAATCGGCGACAGGCCTACGGCCTAATAAACGCTGAAACCGCTATTTAATTGAATATTTAATCTAAAGTAACAAATAGTTCTCTTAACAAATGTAATGAGAGATAATTTTAAGAAATTTTTACCGAATCATCGGATTAACTGCGGTTATGCGAAAATACAAGAGGATCAAGTATAATTCGCGTGTCGTTCTGAACTGACAAAGATCTGACTGAAACTCGGCTGACGATATTGGGAACACCTTACGTTCAATATCAAAGGTCGGGGCTATAGTTGCTACCAAGACGCCACAACAAATACAAAACACAAAAAAATCATCGATTAACGTCCGGAATTGAACTCCCGTGCTAGTATTGCGCATATGTTAATTAATCAGTGAATCGCAGTTCATGAAATTTCTTACCTTCATGACTTCATTGACAATGACATGCTGGATGTGGTTCTATCTTTGTTCTCTTGACGTGGTTGTAACGAATTGTTTGCATTGTAGTTTTTTGTGGTTCTTGGGATGATTTTCTGGACGGGTCCAGACAGTTTGTTTTCTTTATTAAGGCTTTTCTGAAATTATTTAAGGGTCATTGTTTCTTTCGTAATGTTTTTTATCTATGTTTTCTTATCATGGCTTCACTATCATCCCATCCTACCGAAGTATCACTGTCGTAGTTTTCTTTAAGTGGTTTTCTCATTAAGGTTTTCTCGTCAATTTCACAGGTAGGCAGCTCCATACCTATGCACCTGACTGCACAATATAATGAAAATGATTAAGTGCACTTGAATATTTGCTGTTCTGGGCCCATACTTTCAAAAAAAGTTAAGAGATCGTCCGCCTGAACCATGGACTCCAGTTGCGCTAAGTCTGTGCCATTCGGGTTCCTCTTGTCAATGTATCTACGTTTTCCCGTTTCGTAACGTGCACTTTTGTTCTGTTTAAGTCACAGTTTTGTTAAAAGCGCATAATAAATTTTGCCTTGTGTATATTTTACGGAGGTTCGTAAATTAAGCATTTGTTACCTCCTGCCATATTCCAACTCTACTTTATTGTATCTGGATATATATGACGTTGTATTGCAGCTGGAAATATATGACGTTGTATTGCAGCTGGAAATATTTGACGTTGTATTGCAGCTGGAAATATATGACGTTGTATTGCAGCTGGATATATATGACGTTGTATTGCAGCTGGATATATATATGACGTTGTATTGCAGCTGAATATATATGACGTTGTATTGCAGCTGGAAATATTTGACGTTGTATTGCAGCTGGAAATATTTGACGTTTTATTGCAGCTGGATATGTATGACGTTGTATTGCAGCTGGATATACATGACGTTTTGTTGCAGCTGGATATATATGACGTTTTGTTGCAGCTGGATATATATGACGTTGTATTAAGAAGGATTTTTGCTGCATCTTAGTTCGATAATTTTTTTATAATGCATCTTAATCCTAAAATAAAAGGTTAAACCGTTCAGAAATAATTGGTGTAATTTACTGACGTCAGTCAATCGTCAATTCTGACCAATGTTCATTTAGGCTGACAGTTCAGAATAATTTTTACAGAAGAATATATAATTTCCTTAACTAATCTTTTTGAATTATGATTTTTTTTACACAATTAATGAAATATTAAAAAAAGAGAGGCAAAGGATACTACTTATTTGTCATATCACTCATCACGTGAAAATGTTGTGCCGTATAATGACGTAATGGTAGCACGTATTAAACGCATAAATAGATTAGAAAAAATGATTAAAGAGAGTTATGAAATTTTTATATCATTCACAGCGCCTAAAATATTGTTTTCATACTCTCAATGAAAAGTCTTACCTTCATAACTTGAAAGAATTAGCCCAGTTGTTCTAATGTAATTCATTCAATTAGAATGAAATGCTTCAATGTAATAATGAAAACTAAAGTGCGTGCGATTATTTGAGCAAAATGTTCCGTTTGCAAGGCGCCTGCACCAGGAATGTTGTCGTGTCAAGCGATGGTGCGGAGATGTTCGATAAAGTCGTTCCAAGAATCTGGCAGCAAAAAGCTGTTCACGCAACCCGTGGAGTTTGTTGCCCTGGCGTGATACCCTCATTAAGAAGGTCGTCAGTTGCGCTTCGGCGGTCGTGAAGGGAGGTTGTGTGTTGCGTATTCCTGAAATCAATTACTTCAATTACGGGCATCGAATTAAAAACTATACCTATTGAATCTTTGAACGGATCACGTTCATATGTAAGAAAGAATTAAACATGTTTATACTTAAATTTGAATTTTTTTAATATGTAAGTGATATATCAAGTAAATGTAGAAATTGAAATTATGATTGACGTCATCGCATCGACTTGTTGACCTCTAACTGCTCCTCCTGCGACCTTCATGACTAAATGGCCATCAATTATAACAATGGCTAATATCTATGCTGCTAATCACCAAGAATTCAGTTGAATAACTTATATACATGCGAAGATCACAGAATCTAATTAATGAATGAGAATGCAATTTTTATTACCATAATGGAGAATAAAGCTATCAGAAATGACTCGTCATTATATAACGTTATATTATAATCTTTAACTTTGCAGAAGTTATTTATTGCGCCATCAGCTTTTCATAGAATCGATATAAAAATAATGATGTTTTCGCACAAGGCTGACACGACGGGTTAGATGTATGTGATGGGTAGCGGGTTGACCTGGTGCATAGCGTGATAGGGATTTATTTCGAATTATTAAACCTCATCAACATAATTATTTCCTCATAAAGAAAATAAATATTATTCATTCATAAATTCCCCATTTTCTATTCCTAAGTAACATAAGCCATTCTTTGCAAAACGTGAACTCGAAAATAAATACAAAAACCAGTATACTAATGACCGAAATATATAACTTATTATTTATCTAGCATTCATTCCCATGGCGCGTGTGTTTAACTGAACATTTTATAAAAAGTTATTAAAACTTGGCTTTACTCGTACATGATTGAGCAAGGGACAAAACAGAATCAGAATTTCTACAAAGTGTTTTACCTAAGCGTGTATATTGAGAGAAATTAGTGGAACTAATTTTAGATTTAGTTTATTTTATTTATTTATTTTTATTTAATTTTTATTTCTATTTAATTTATTTATTTAGATAAATAAAAAACTCCAAATAGATATTAACTCTTTGATCAAGTGTGAGTCATCCGGACCCAGGTCAGCCCGTCAAGAGAACGTATCAGTGCTACGTCCTTTTTCTGCTAGTGCTGTTTGAAAGAAAGTGGGTCCTTGTTTGGACAATTGATTTCTTTTACTGAGCGCCGGTATAAGGAACTTGATTGAATGTAAAAAGTACATCGCTCCTTAGTTGGGGTAGACCCCTCCATCCATGGAGGCCTTAGTTGAGATAGACCCCTCCATCCATGGAGGACTTAGTTGAGATAGACCCCTCCATCCATGGAGGCCTTAGTTGAGATAGACCCCTCCATCCATGGAGGCCTAAGTTGAGATAGACCCCTCCATCCATGGAGGCCTAAGTTGAGATAGACCCCTCCATCCATGGAGGCCTAAGTTGTGATAGACCTCTCCATCCATTTGGCTCATTCCCACCAAGCCCTCGCCACGGATGACAGTTGCCAACCTAACCCAATTAACCAGACCCTATTGCCCTTATTTCAACCTTTTCTTCATTCCCACAGCCTAAACATGGATTCAATTTCAACCTAACCCAATTAACCATGCCCTATTGCACTTATTTCCCCTTTTCTTCATTCCCACAGCCTAAACATAGATTAAATATCAACCTAATCCAATTAACCCGCCCTATTGCCCCTATTTCCCCTCTAACCCTTCTCCCCACCTTCCCCCTCAGCCCCCGCCATGGGTGATGACGAGGACAACAACGCCTTCTGGAGCTCCCGCTGGTCGGACGACCCCTCGTGGCACCTGGACGAGGTGAACCCTCACCTGCGCCGCCATCTTAGCCACCTCGCCCCGCCCCCTGGCCGCCATCGCATCTTTGTGCCCCTCTGTGGCAAGAGCCTCGACCTCAAGTGGTGAGTGTGGCAAGAACCTTGACCTCAAGTGGTGAGTGTGGCACGAGCCTCGACCTCAGGTGGTGAGTGTGGTGCAGCGAGCGTGTAGCATGAGCAAATCCCCCCTCCGTAAGTCATGAGGTTTCCTGGTCCCGATTTTTCCGCATTCATGTAACACGGCAACACGCTAGGTTTTATAGGTAGAGATAATTGAGTAATTACATTAATTGAAGATAATCTATTTAATAATATTGAAATTTGTTATACTTCTCAGTTATACACTCGGAGAAATGAGTATAAAATTGTTAAATTTGCGATGTACTTACGGCCTTGCGTGGGTCATCCTGATCTAGCTTTTCAAACAAATAAACATATCAGCGTTACGTCGCTATACGTCCGTTCCTGCTCGTGATGTGAGAGACAGAGTGTCACTATTTTGACAATATGACCGAATTCGTATATCTGTGTTAAATATTTTGAGTGAATCTACCATCACGGATGTAAAAGCGTGGAATAATGAGCGCGTTATCGTTGGCTATGGGATTGCCAGCAATCAACCGTCCTTGACAACTTAATGATTATGCCACCTTCGATCAACCCCCTCGCTGCCTGGCGGTGGTGGCGGTCAATGTGGAAACAATCGACGGGGTAAATGAGGACGGGGTTATAGGAGGTGGTTATGTGGGGGTTAAATCGACAGGAAACAACTAGAGAACAATAACATGACCTTGTGGGGGATGGGCCAGGGGCGAGGTCATTGGGGGTTGAATGAGAGGGAGAGGTAAGGGCCTGTAGGGGGAGAGGGGGTTGGACAAGAAAGTTTGTATGCTTTTTTGCTCTATCGATCGTTTAGTTTTACCTTCTAATTGCACACAAACTTTTTTGAATAGCCGTTTCCGTCCGCTCTGTTGGCTGGCCGTTTCCACCCGCTCTGTTGACTGGCCGTTTCCGCCCGCTCTGTTGACTGGCCGTTTCCACCCGCTCTGTTGACTGGCCGTTTCCACCCGCTCCGTTGACTGGCCGTTTCCACCCGCTCTGTTGACTGGCCGTTTCCACCCGCTCTGTTGACTGGCCGTTTCCACCCGCTCTGTTGACTGGCCGTTTCCACCCGCTCTGTTGACTGGCCGTTTCCACCCGCTCTGTTGACTGGCCGTTTCCACCCGCTCTGTTGACTGGCCGTTTCCACCCGCTCTGTTGACTGGCCGTTTCCACCCGCTCTGTTGACTGGCCGTTTCCACCCGCTCTGTTGACTGGCCGTTTCCACCCGCTCTGTTGACTGGCCGTTTCCACCCGCTCTGTTGACTGGCCGTTTCCACCCGCTCTGTTGACTGGCCGTTTCCACCCGCTCTGTTGACTGGCCGTTTCCACCCGCTCTGTTGACTGGCCGTTTCCACCCGCTCCGTTGACTGGTCGTTTTCATCCGCTCTGTTGACTGGCCGTTTCCACCCGCTCTGTTTACTGGTCGTTTCCACCCGCTCTGTTGACTGGTCGTTTCCACCCGCTCTGTTGACTGGCCGTTTTCACCCGCTCTGTTGACTGGCCGTTTTCACCCGCTCTGTTGACTGGCCGTTTTCACCCGCTCTGTTGACTAGCCGTTTTATTTCTATCCGTGTTTACACCTAACCCCCCCGCACTTTTGACTAGCCGTTTTATTTCTATCCGTGTTTACACCTAACCCCCCTGTGCGGTTACACGCGATACACGCGATGGTCGCGGAGGTCATCGCGGCGATACCGGCATTGATCGCCCGCGGGCCGGACGTTTGGGTACGTCGATACCTCAGGGTCAGCGAGTATCGCTTTGACCCTCACGATACCAAGGCTTAAATTATCAATTCTTTAGTCACTAATGAGAGATGACATTACCTTTCATTGTTAGCTAGAGTCCGCTTCGTGCGTGGGATTGATTTGTTCCATTACGTGATTCATTACAAACTATTCCTATCCCTAAACACACAATATACACCTCAACACAAACATAGATTCACCCTCACACATACCATATAAATACCACAATACAATTAATATACATTACACATCACAAAACAAACTGCCTACNTACCTACATTCGAGTACTATATATATCCATAATTATAACGTGATTTCTATGGGAAATATGTATTATCGAGAATATATAGCCCAATCAGCAGGGATTATTTGTAGTGCTTCGGATTATTGATGATAACTTAGAGTTATTCCTACCTGAAGAGCTAGTTGCCTTTAAATGCCCCTCAGTTTTATTTATAATTTTGTGTGCAAATTAAATGCGATTTTGGAACTAGAAATTGAGAGTTCAAATACAAGTCGCTATTCATTCATACACATGTACACAGACACGTACACATCACAGATCATATTACGCAGATAAGCATACGCACATAATAACACAAAAACACATAGAACACATTCTTGGAAGTAACGCAACCATTCTTTACTCAGCACATTCAAAACTTTTACTACACATTCATCATCACGCATCTTCAACCTCCCGAATACCTCCACACTAAAAACACACAATACACACCTCAACACAAACATAGATTCACCCTCACACATACCATATAAATACCACAATACAATTAATATACATTACACATCACAAAACAAACTGCCTACTCATCCGATGACAGGTTGTGTGTTCGCCCACTGACCCATTTGTCAGCTCTTTGTTCATCAATGATCGATCAATAACCTCTTAGATTCATCATTCACTAACCACTTAACTAAGTGAGCTCGACTGCCGCTGAGGCCTCTCTAAGTTAATATAAAATGTAAGTGGGTCAGTGCAAGGTGCAGCGTGCACTCAGGGAACTTATGGGTCACATTTTCGAAATACCGAAAATTTTTCTTACTCACAAGGCGAGCAAAAAACTGACGTATAGCTCTGGCTCGCTCTTTTGCCGAGCGAAACTGGGCCGGAATTACCCACACTAACGTACATTGCTATTTGGACAACGGCCTAATAATTTATATGAGTGTAAAGTTTATTTCTTAATAAATAATTTAACCAGATCAAGGTTGGACCAGCGAGCTTAGAACTTCGTGGTGCGATACATATTAATGTCGTTCATGGTTTGCAATTATGCAATATATTGTTGCCTTATACGATGATATTGTTTGAAGTGCAATAACCAGAGGGAATTATATTGATGCGATATACGATAATATTTTCTAAGTGCAATTTTCATTAGTAATTATATTGTTGCCATATAATATTGTTTGAAGTGCGATTGCCAGGAATTTTTTGATGAGTGAAAGTAATTCTGAGTGTCAGCCTGCCAACAGTTGTATAGACTGATTATGACAATTATACCCTCTATATATATGAATGTACAATAAGGCTCTGCTTAATGTACATAAAGGCTCTACTTAATGGGCATAAAGGCTCTGCTTAATGTACATGTACCGTGCACTGCACTGCTTTGTGCATTTTCATACCTCGGATGCACAGCAAGGGCAGCATTGCTGTACATATTTATCTCTTGCGCAGGTTGCACAGCAAGGGGCACAGCGTGGTGGGGGTGGAGCTCGTCGAAGAAGTCGTTAAAAATTTCTTCGAAGAAAACGAACCAAATTATTTAGTGAAGGACCTGGGCTGGGGCACGCTGTACACGGTGAGTGCTGTACACGGTGATCATGAGTGCTGTACACGGTGAGTGCTGTACACGGTGATCATGAGTGCTGTACACGGTGAGTGCTGTACACGGTGAGTGCTGTACACGGTGAATGCTGTACACGGGTAGTGCTGCAGCGTTTGTGTATGACTGTGTTCCGTATGCAGCATGCATTATACGCTGTAAGAGTCACTGTATCAAATCGCAGTATATGGTATTGTATTTACACACTAAATCACATGAAAAAATCCACGGATATTGAGCCAAATATTTAAATATTCCTTGCCGCGCACTGCTTTAGAGCTACGTAGTCGTAGAATACAATAGAAATACTGCAATCTACACCAGTTCCGCGGCAGCTTCAAGCCACATGAAGGCTATGCTGGCTGGAGCAATGGCTACAGGGTTACGGCGCCTATGGCTTCAAGCCCTCAAGTTCATATGCCCCTAATCTCAGTAGCATGATTGTGCACGGGATAAATATGAAAGTGATGATTATAATTTGAAATGCTTGCTACTAACATGCAGCCCCAATCATGTTTCTGCACCGCAGACATGGCCGCGGGCCACACATAAATTGTTTAGCGGGCCGTGAGTATCCATGTAGCAGAAAAATTCCGCGGACATTACCCCGAACATTTAGATATCTCTATTGATAACTAATGGTTTGCTTGAAATTTATTTTGTGCATACAAAAAATGTAGCAAAGACATGCCAGACAGCTTGTTGTTCAAATATTCATGGGGTCTTGTCATTTAATGCAGCATTGGAATATTACTCATAAATATCGTACATTAATCCATGGAATTACACGGATGAACGTTGTATTTGTTAACGACAAATTAATTTTTTTAGAACTAAGGTTTCTATACACGAACAATTTTTAAAAATTAGAAATTCGGTGTGCTCGATAAATATTTTCGATGGCGTATTAACGAATACAAGCTCTTTTTATTGATATTTTATTACCGCCACATGACCTAAAATGCTGCAGGATGCCACTATTAAAAAATTGACGTGCCACTATAAAAATTTCAAAATAAAATAACCAGAATAATTTGCTTTGAAATAATGCTGTTAAAACGCGCATCTTATAACCAAGCAATATTTTCAACATAAAAAGATGCGTTTTGAATGATTGCCTTTCATCGACATGAAGTATTGTCTTTAGTCGTAATAGACGATTGCCCTTCACCGTCGCCAATGATTATCCTTTGTTGCCATAAATGGTTGTCTTTAATCGTTTCATCAATGATCGTCTTTAATTGGATAATGGATGACTACTGTTAATCTATAATGTACTAATAAATGTTTGTCCATCATCGCTATAAATAATTGTCCGTCATCGCCATAAATGATTGTCCTTCATCGCCATGAATGATTGTTCATCATCGTCATAAATTATCGTCCATCATCGCTAGAAATAATTGTCCTTCATCGCCATAAATGGTCGTCCATCATCGCTATAAATGATTGTCCTTCATCGCCATAAATGGTCGTCCATCATCGCTATAAATGATCGTCCTTCATCGTCATAATTGATTGTCCTTCATCGCCATAAATGATTGTTCTTCATCGTCATAAATGATCGTCCATCATCGCTATAAATGATCGTCCATCATCGCCATAAATGATCGTCCTTCATCGTCATAATTGATTGTCCTTCATCGCCATAAATGATTGTCTTTCATCGTCATAAATGATCGTCCATCAACGCTATAAATAATCGTCATTCATCGCCATAAATAACTGTCCATCATCGCCTTAAATGATTGTTCATCCTTTCCAATAATAATTGTCAATCATTGCCATAAATGATCGTCCATCATCGCTAGAAATAATTGTCCATCATCGTCATAAATGATTGTCCTTCATCGGCCCAGAACGCGAGGCGGTCGCTGCAGATCTACGTGGGTGACATCTTCAAGCTCAAGATGGAGGAGCTGGGGCGCTTCGATGGCGTCTGGGACAGAGGGGCGCTAGTGTCCATCCCTGAGGCCCGGAGAGCTGAGTGAGTGGTCCATGTCGGTCTCTGAGGGACAGAGGGGCGCTGGTGTCCATCCCTGCCCTATCGAAATTCGAAGACCTGTCAGCCGCTGGCACACGGACGCCCCAGGTTCTTATGGCCGGGTAAATTAGAAGCTCTATGTCCGCATTAGGTTCCGGTTGCCGTAGCGAAATAAGCGCCGAAAGGGAATCTTGTGAAATTACTCGTCGAGCTTGGGGCGATCGTGGGGCGCGCGTATTTGGTACCTGATACGTTCGGGACAGACACGGCCGAATATGAAAAATGCTTAAAAAAATGCCCCCTCCCTTNGTATATTACGCAGATTTGGCCTACCGGGCAATTGACTTCCAAAAGAGGCTGGTAAATAGAAGCAAAACACCCTACGTGGCCGACTTGCTCCTGATTCACCCCTAAGCCGAATATAGTTCCTCTAAAACGACCTTAATCGGCACGAAAATTTTGACGGGGTGAGGCCCGGAGAGCTGAGTGAGTGGTCCATGTCGGTCCCTGAGGGACAGAGGGGCGCTAGTGTCCATCCCTGAGGCCCGGAGAGCTGAGTGAGTGGTCCATGTCGGTCCCTGAGGGACAGAGGGGCGCTGGTGTCCATCCCTGAGGCCCGGAGAGCTGAGTGCGTGGTCCATGTCGGTCCCTGAGAGACAGAGGGATGAGTGAGTGGTCCATGTCTGTCCCTGAGAGACAGAGGGATGATTGAGTGGTCCTTGCTGATTCCTGAGGGACAGAGTGCCGAGTGAGTGGTCTCTGAGGATCCCTAAGGGACAGAAGGCCGAGTGAGTGGTCTTTGAGGGAGAGGGGGCCGAGCGAGTGGTTTTTGAGGAACAGAGGGCCGAGTGAGTGGTCTTTGAGGATCTCTAAGGGACAGAGGGCCGAGCGAGTGGTCTTTGATGGAGAGAGGGCCGAGTGAGAGGTATTTGAGGATATCTAAGGGACAGAGGGCCGAGTGAGTGGTCTTTGAGGATCCCTAAGTGCCGAGTGAGTGGTCTTTAAGGATCCCTAAGTGACGAGTGAGTGGTCTTTGAGGATTCCTAAGGGGCAGAAGGACGAGTGAGTGAGTGGTCTTTGAGGATTCCTAAGGGACAGAGGGCCGAGTGAGTGGTCTTTGAGGATCCCTAAGTGCCAAGTGAGTGGTCTTTAAGGATCCCTGAGTGACGAGTGAGTGGTCTTTGAGGATTCCTAAGGGGCAGAAGGACGAGTGAGTGAGTGGTCTTTGAGGATTCCTAAGGGACAAAGGGCTGAGTGAGTGGTTCTTGTGGCTCCCCAAGAGACAGATGGCAGGCTCGTGAATCTTGCTTCGTCACTGCTCGCCTGGCTTCCTTCATCATGATGTAGAGCTGTTTACTTCAGCAGTTACTTAACATGTGTCCTCGCTTATGCAACAATTGGGAGATCACAACCACTTGCAACTGAAATGAAAATGACAAGAATTGTATTAGATGCAAATAGCTGTTGTATAGACTGTAACGACGCGGACAACTGTACTAGGTATGACAACTGGGTTTTACAACTGTCGTCTGGGTGCATTCAACATGAATGCAGGCTTATACAACTGTTCGAAAGTGCGATCATGGAGACTACAACTATTAGAGGATCGATAACCACAATGTTATGTATTTTTCTGGATGACTGATTCCTTCATTTGGACTGGGACAATGGATGCTACCAGTGCGAGTACGAGCATTTGTAGCAACTGTAGTACGACTGCAAAGTCAAATGGGTTCTGCCTACTTCCAGCTGTTGTATGGATTAGGAAAGCAAAAGTAACTGTATCTGGATGTTTACTATCCTCATGGGAACTGTCACAAATATTGCTAATATAACATAGATGACAAATGTGACAATTATGTAGCTATAACGAAGATGAAACTGGAACAAATAATGTACAATGTAACACCAAAGCCTCTTTTAATAGGTATGCGGCCATCATCCGACGGCTGCTGCGGCCGCACTTCAGATACCTCCTCAACAACTTCCTCTACCGCCCACCTGAGAAGTTTGAGGGACCTCCCTACACTGTACCTAACTACACTGTGCACGAGCTGTTTGGTGAGTACCATACTATCTGGTTCATGAAATGTTTTGGTGGGTACCTAGTGACGTACCTAACCACACTGTACACGAGCGGTTTGTTGGGTATCATATTGCCTGGCACACGAGCTGTTAGTTGGTTACCTAGTGACGTATCTAACTACCTGGTACACAAAATTTTCGGTGAATACCATACTATTTGGCAGACGAGCTGTTGGGTGGGTGACTAGCGACGTACCTAACTAGCTCGTTCACGAGCTATTCGGTGAGTTCCTAGTGACATACCTAACTACACTGTACACAAGCCATTTGCTAGGTACCTATATAGTGACGGTCCATAAAGGTACTTCAAGGTTCTCAAGTTTTCCGTTGGGTACTACTAGTGAACTAACTAATTACTTGGTATACGAGCTGATTGCGCATACCTGGTGGCATTTTTAGCTAGCTACGCGCAGTTTCACGATGAAAATCGGCTGGACAATCGGCGACTTCAGTCGAGTTGCCTCCGCAGTATTGCCATGTCAATGCCAGAAAGACCATCTTGCGGCCGTTATTAGGGCCACTCATTGGCACCGACACGATACCTCAACCGGGCTGTGTATCGACTACTGCGGCAACAGCCCAGCGCATTTCAGACATAACTCTCAGTCGAACTTGATTTCTTAATGCCGGCGTTCATGTGTCACTATAGTACAGGCCAGTTTTGTTTGTGGGCAAGCTCCCTTGTACCTTGAACCTGGCCATAAAATGCTGTGGGCCTGTCCTCACGTTTGGCCGTACGGCAGTACGGCAGCTAATGCTGTAGCTTCTAGCGCCCAATGGTCGAAGCGGCTGTTAGGAAATGTCACAGTAAGGTAATAGACGAATTTTAGTTTTTGAATATCTACTGGTTTTCTATAACTGAAATGATAAGGACAGAAATTAAGTAATATCTACTGTATAGGTAATTAAATTATTGCTACTGAGAACCTGTTAATAATGAAGGAACAATTAATTATCAGGTTCGGCACGTATAGAATTATGTAAGTTTTACCTACAATAGTGTTTTTTTATTAATTTTTGAGAAATATCATTTCTATAATAATATTTTTGTTTTTAACCAAGTTGCTATTTCAGGACAAATCGCGATCTGGAAAATACTGGAAACCGAGGAGATGATGTCCAAGGAGGAGATGCAGGCAAGGGGGCTGGAGGTGGCAATGCAGGTCTTCCTGCTGCTCACCCCCAAGCACCTGTAGGGGGATGGGGGGAAGTGGGGCATGGGTAAGTTGAGCAGGTTGGGTATGTGTGGCAGGTAGGGTAGGTGGGACAGGTTGGGTAGGTGGGACAGGTTGGGTAGGTGGGGTAGGTTGGGTAGGTGGGGCAGGTTAGGTAGGTGAGGCAAGGGGCACGTGAGCCAGGTGGGGCACTTGGAGCACATGGAGCAGGTGGGGTAGGTCTGACATTTATTTTAAGGTCGTCAACTAGAAGCTAACCAGGTGGAGTCAACGTTATGTTGAAATCTATCATAGTATTCAGCTGCTTACTAATTAGTGCTAAATAGCTGCTTAATGAGGTACCGACTAATGAGTACCAAGCAATAGGTGCTAAATGATGGGTACTAAGTAATAGGTTATAGGTTCTTGGTGAAAGGTACTAGGTGATAGGTACTACATGATAGTTACTAGTTGATAAGTAATAAGTGATTAGCCATGAGGTGCTTGATAGAATTTTTAGCAACGATGTTCTTTGGCGCTTGTTGATCGCGTCCATTTACTGTTGTGTCGTCGTATTTGCTGAAACTGTTGAATATAACGAGTAGATGATCGGTAACTAGTTGCCTTAACTGTTGGGTAGAATGAGTAAGTGTTGGGTAACTAGAGTTAGTTTATGTATATTAATTACGCCTTGTTACTCCGTCCGGAAATGATGTTCTGTAATATTTAGTAAAGATTAGTAAAGCTACCGCCAATGACGCTGTAGTCGCCACAGTAATGCCACTGTGCTTAACGCGCCGTTTTGAATCAAATCGATTTTATGCAGTGATACTTCGACTTACGAACACCTTTACTTACAAACTTTTCCAGAAACGGACCGGTGATTCGAGATTTCTTATCTCCACATGCGAACATGTTTCTGCTTGCAAATCGAATTTCAGAACCGATTTTGTGCTATATTTAATTTAATAATTTCTTTTTATACACATTAAATACATTATTGTTTCCACATGCGAACGCAGTGACGGAGCGAATAAAGTTCGTAAGTCGAGGTACCCGCTTCCTAGGCGTAGTCGAGCACTTCTAAGATGTACGGTAATTTGTCATTAAAATGTAATAAAAATGTTAGAACTGTATAAAAGTTACTCACTGGCCCAGTGGTTACAACCAGAGTACCAAGATTAGGGCAGTGAGTTGTGGGTTCGATCCTAGCTACTTGCGACGGATCAGATAAAATCGGCGAGGCGGCGGCGTTTGAGCCCAGCAAAATTTGAGCAGCGAGTTGCGTGTTCGAGACCACAACAAGCTGTGAATGTTCTACGATGTAAAGAATCGGCGACGGGTCTAATGGTCTAATCAACGCTGGCACCGTGATTACTATATTGAAAATTTTACCTAAAATGATTTATGATACATAATTGATACGGCGAGGTTGGTGTTGTGGCGACTCAAGTGTCGTAACAAAAATTATAAACTCGATGGCTTCGATTGCACATATTAGTAAATTTGACTTACAAAGCAAATTTATTTATATAACTTAGGAAAAAAACTCGCATATTGTTTCTCAAAACTTTTACAAAATATTAATTTCTTACAAGTTCAATAATTTTATTTACATAAGTTGCAATTTTCTATTCAAATTAAGTATTTATTATATTATTTGTATGAATAATTGCTGCACGTATTGAATGTTTTAGCTGTACATTGCTAGTCTTCCGTTTATTCTATGGAGTTATAGGCGCCTTATCACCGGCCAGCTATGCGGTGGCCAGACCCAGGCTAATGCCTATGAGTTTTAATAAGGTGGAATGTGTTGATTAAATACAAAAAAAATTAAATTTTAGTAAATTAATTAAATTAAATTATTGCATAACTCATAGCGTGACGGCACAATTATAATCAAATGATAATTTCGCCAAAATTAGATAAAATTACATTGATTGAATTATTGCAATATGACAATTAATAATCAGAATAACATGCAGGAACTTTACTATGAGATAACAATAATGATAGTTACTTTCATTCACATTACAGCGAGAAAAGTAATACTTAAAATAACTTATTTTGTCGTGTCGGTTGTAAAATATTGAAGTTGCAATTCTTTGAAGTAGCTTCGTTGTTAATTATACGTTTCCATAAGTTAGGATGTTTACTAACTACGTTTTTATCAATCAAGTCATAAGTTCAAAGTTTTTATTAGTCATAACGTATACGTTCAACGTTAATATGAGTCATGACGCATTCGATCAACGTTTGCATAAGTTATGATGCTAACTATCAACGATTTTATGAGTCATGACGGATACGTTCAACGTTTTTCTGAGTCATGACGAATACGTTCAACGTTTTTATGAGTCATGACGAATACGTTCAACGTTTTATGGGTCATGACGTATTCGTTCAACGTTTTTATGAGTAATGAGGAATACTTACAACGTTTTTATGAGTAATGAGGAATTCGTTCAACGTTTTTATGAGTAATGAGGAATACTTTCAACGTTTTTATGAGTCATGACGTATTCGGTCAACGTTTGCACAAGTCGGGTGCTCACTATCAACGTTTTGGTGAGTCAGTCATATCGTATATAATTTCAACGTTTATGGCCGTTTATGCATAATTTATTAAATAATTTGAATTTAGGATTTCATTAAGCAGTGTTGTGTAAGTGGAGAAGAATGCCAGGGTTCCATTGTGTTCAGCCCTGAAAAAATAAATAAAGAATGTAAAGATAACGATTATCATTGCCTTGAGATAACAGGGGAAGGTGGCTGTATCACATCAAATTACCTACAGACAGACTAATTAAAATAGCATAACTCATTTATTGGCAATGCTAATTAGCCGAAAATCTCCCAAATTTATTTCACCGACTTTCAAGGAGGTTTTCACGTAATCGACAAGGTTTCAAATTGAAGAAAAATCAGGGAAGCTTCTATTTTGATTTAATAATCAAAATTTTGAGTTTGATTTGGAGTGGTTTTGCGTTCATTGTAAATCGCTGTAATGGGTGGGAAGTTGGAAAGGAAAAATAGGAAGAATGGTTTAAGACTTTGATGCTTTGGAAAGTAAGATAAAGACTTATGGCTAAAGTTTGAATAATGATCATTGCAGGTAACTTAGTAAAGTAACGCATTTCTAGAGCAAAGTATACTGAAAATAAATCGACTAATTAGATTTAGATGAAATAATAATTTATATTATAGCATGAAATTTTGATTTGAAATAATTTGATATTGTAAGCTGTAAACTAAGTACACCTTCCAAACATAATAAATAAATGAATTTAATTGAGAAAGAAAATTTGAACAAAACGAAATTCACTCGACATTCATACAGAGCAAGGAGTAGAGAAACAGGTTACTATAGCAATACGCAGAAATACTTGAACGTTTTTGTGGGTTATTTCACTTTATTTGTCGCACGGATTGGAAACGGCAATGTGAAACGAAAGTTTCGCATTTTAGAGAATGAATCACAGAGATTTGAACAACGCGTAATGATTTTGGGCTTTTACTGGCGGCAAAAATAGAATAGAATAGAATAGAATAGAATAGAATAGAATAGAATAGAATAGAATAGAATAGAATAGAATAGAATAGAAACTGACAATATGGTTCCCTGCTATTGATTACCAATTAGTCATTAGGACTGATTAATAACTGATAATCATCTCCGATTCTTCGAATCTCTACTTATTTTTCGTTAAGGGGATTCAATAACGCAAATTTAAGGTAATGATAGATATTCTAAATAAACGGCGAGGAATGAGTAATTTCTCACAGTTCATGTCAAAATCTTCATTCATGACAATGTTAAAATTATTATGTTTATTGCAGCAGACGTCACATGTTGATAGATCTATTCATCTTAAAGGTTGTAATGATATGATGCAATTCGAGGAGAATAACTTGTTATATTTTATTTGTTTTGAGCCAAATCCCTAGAATGAAGCATTTTTTTCGCTATATCGGATCTTATAATGTACATTCGGTTCATCAAAAGGTCCATTTTATATTATGTTAGGAACACATGACTTCTGTACATGTGATTTAACGAACCCACAGTTACAGAATTTATGCACAAACATAGATTTCTTATGTTTTCAATCATTCAGTAACTTTGACATAAATTTTGTATATCTTTTAATTAGGCATACCACTTTTTTCAAATTTGCTTTTAAATTGGTTTGATAAGAAACAAGCACAAGTTCACTTCGTCTGGCAGAATATCTTCTAACAAATTGTTTCCGAATTATTTAAAGAAATAATATAGTTATTGGGCATGTTTTCATGTTTTTTCCTTAGCCTCTAAATGAATTATGTGTAGTAAGAGCCGATCATGACAGACCATTCATTTGCTCACCATTATCAATTGAACTCATTAGGCTTGGGGGAGATATCCTCCCCACATCCACCCGCTGACTTTTCTATGTCATACTGCATCATTTATGAGTGCTTTATCAGCGACTCTTGGCAGTTAGCCTTTTTTCCTAGTTAAAAAAGTGAACTCGTTTTCATTTTTTTATTCTCTTCTTGCACTGGTGTGGCAATCACCTTATCACGTATCTCTCGGCCTGACACGTCGGCACCTGGCAACGCTGGCACCAAGGTTACAATACCGGCCTTTTTATGGCCAAGTTTAACGATTTGAGCCTATTGTAATCATAGAATAGAATAGAAGTGTCGGCGTTGAAGAAATAGGCCCATGGCCTGTTGCCGATTCATGAACTTTTCGTGACTTGATTCACAAGGGATCCGGCCTTTGGAACCCGATCTTTCCATAGCTGACGATTGATTGAGATAGCTGCTGGACTTATTGCCTGGTCCGTAATATGCTACCGTAGGCATTTTAAACTGAACATATGCTCCTGCGTAGCTAATTGTCTATACAAATAATACAATGACTGGCTGAAATTAGTTTTGGTTCTGAATTAGTTTTTTATCGTAGTAGCATTTTTTATAAAGAATTCTAAATTTTTGCAGATTGCACCGCATTGCACATTCACATATCAGTAAATAAATTGACCGTTTTTGGTCTTTTGGCCGTTCTCTCTTGCCACGATCTTGCAGTGGGTCCGCGGCCTTGGCGGGCCTGAGCCACCTGCGGCCTGGCAGGCTGGCACTGGCAGTCTCACTTTACGCCCAGTCGTCGCGGTGGTAGGAGGTGTGCTGTCTGCTCCTAGCGCTCATTGTTCAGACCTAAATTCACCCGTTTTCTGATTGTAAAAATTGCATTAGCCATGACTACTACACCAAAAGCTGTTAAGCTCAACACCGGAGCGATGATGCCCATCATTGGATTGGGCACATGGAAGGTAAAGCAGATATAAACGAAATTTTTTCCATCTTATGATTTTATGTAATTATATTAATACTATTGCTAAATTTAGCCTAAAACTTAGATAAAATAGTTGAATTTATAGCATCAGTAGGTAGCTCATGAATTGCCTCTCAGTTACTACTTGCTGTGTGCCACTCATACCAATTACCAAAAACTATAATAATAGTTTTTTTTTCTTTTGTTTAGTCTGAAGTCTGAACTGTGTCACTACTACTCACTAATCACTATCATCTATGATTTCAATTTGTATTGTAGGGTTCTCTCATTTTGTCTCTTGTCCCAGTGCTCAAAGGCAAATAATGTGTAATTGTTGCTGCACTGTACAACTTAACCACTACCAGTTTATCACTCAGTTCACTTAACTTCACTAGGTACTCCTTTGTTAACACTTAAGTTTTAACAGAATCCTTTAGTTTTGAAATCAGAAAACCTACCATCTTGTACTTCCAATTTCAAACTCTTATGATTTATGAAAAATTAACCTAGGAACTAGAAAATTAGAAGGTATTATTGCAGATTAACTACATCCAAAAAAAAGGGTGTTTTTTTTTTTAATTATATGTTTTTTGGGGTGTAGATTACGAATCTGAAATCCATTTTTGGCGGTCGGCATCGGAAAACCGATTTTTTTCGCGACTTACTAACATGGGGGTTACGTAACTTACGTTACCCACTCACCTTTATTTACTAACATGATTCAAGATGTTAGGCATTTTTAGCGCGATTTTTGGGTCGGAAAAAAATCGGTTTTCCGATGCCGACCGCCAAAAATGGATTTCAGATTCGTAATCTACACCCCAAAAAACATATTCAAAAAAAAACACCCTTTTTTTTGGATGTAGTTAATCTGCAATAATACCAATTAGAATAAACATAAATCATAATTACTTTTAATTTTTTGAATTTGCTAGTACACATCTACCTATACATACCTATGTACTGTCAGTGTCAGACGACAGTACTGTAGTCTGTAGGCAAAGCAGAGCTGCGGGCTACATCAATAACATCACCATTCCATTGTCAGGCTCAATCAGTCAATGTGAAAAGCCAGGCATTGCTTCTAAAAGCCTTCCATTGCTCCCAAGTTTCAACAGTGATGTTATTTTTCATTTTTTGTTGTTCTATTATTTTGGTCTAGTCATTTTTATAAAGAGTAAAAACCAGGCAAGAAATTAGACATTTGCTCTTCATTATTTTATTTTTTTTAATCATTTGCTTCTAAAGACTAAATTAAAAATGCCCATTATTAATTATGAGACAAAGATAGGTACCTAGTATGCAATCAATGCACCAAAGAAGATTTAAATGATGTTAAAGAAACTTTTTATTCCTGTTTGAAAGAAGTCTTTACTTTGCCTTGTCATCTTACTTGCTTCTTAAAAATTTTCTTTTTTGCTATTGCTTACTTAACTGATAGTCTTTTTTTTCTGCAATTTATATCGTTTTTATTCCTTCAAAACTATTATCACTGCCTTCACTCCCCTGCATAGAGCACTGAGGGGGCTGTGACAGCAGCGGTGGAGGCAGCCATTGATCTTGGCTACCGTCACTTTGACACTGCCTGGATTTACGGCAATGAGGTTGAGGTTGGAAAGGCCCTCAAAAAGAAGTTTGATGAGGGCGTTGTGAAGCGGGAGGACCTGTTCATTGTCACCAAGGTCAGTTCTTTTGTCTTCTGCTCACTGCTGTGCTCCGCAATTATTTGTTCCATGTTCAGTGTCATTAGTTAACATAAGAATTAAGTTTGTTTTTATTGCTTATAATTTTAATTACTTTATTCATTCCTGAATTACAAATGTTTGTCATAATATTTAGCTTGATTCACTGTGTTGGCATAAATACTCATCACTTGCAGATTCATCATTAAAGATTTGATGTATAGATTTTTTTTCCAAGATCTTGTCTCAAGTTACTATATAACTTATGGTAAATGAACACTCTACCTGAGTGATAATGCACATCTATTTTCAATTCAATAACCTAAATTTTGTACTTGTCCTAACAGTCCTATTATGTAGTGGAGAGTTATTAAAATTTTAAACTAAAAAAAATATTTTACATTTTTTTCATTTTCTTAAATACTGGTAACTGTTATTTTTCAGATAAAATTATTTCTATTTCCATTGATTTGTCTTCCTAGTTAATCTATTTATTATAGATTTATGTTATCTGAATACTGTCATGAAATTGTCTCATTTTGTATGCCCTACAGCACGGTTAATACTTGAAGCTTGGTTCAGTCACATAATAATATATAATATAATAATATATATACATAGCTAAGATAATGCCAGATGTAATTGTTTTTGGGTTAGAGCTACTCAATCTTGCAACACGTGTCTACACTTCAGTGTATGATGCATGCTTCAGCTCATATATGTATGTGTTTATATAATACTTCTTACACTGCTCTTATCTTTCTGATTAGATGACCTGTGTTTATGTAATATGTACGGTACCTAGATGGAGAATTATTACTGAATACATTAAAAAGACTGAAGCTCTGTCAAATGATCAATTTAGATTGAAACCAGACAATTTGTATATAGCTACTGTACATGTGCTACACTACAAAAACAATAAAGATGGGGTGTATAGCACAAAATTAGGAACTTTCTCCTAGAGTTTTCAATATGATCAAAAATGTTCACACCCTAGCCCAAAGAATTGCATTCCTTGCTTCATCTACGGAACATGTTCAGAGTTTGCACTCATGCTTAGAAGTCTTGAAGACAAATCTATCAATTGAACACACATTTTCAATAATGTAAGACCCTTTTGAATATGGTAGCTTTGGATGTATCCCATACATACCAGTAGTGCAAATTATTGTGTGTACGCAGCAAATGAATTTAATAAATGAAATAAATAATTGAATATGCAACATGCGCCTATTATGGACACATGCCTATTATTTTGACACATCTAGAATATTTGATTGGAAGCAATGCCTATGAAGTTTGATAGCACATGCCAATGTTTGATAGGACATAAGATTAGAACTTGCCTATCAAGTTGTGACATGTTGGGCTTGTTCCTTCAAGTAAGCCTTTGTCTTGCCAATCATATTAATTGCCATTGATCAATAATTATTATCCATGATTTGATGCATTTATCTGTCCATTGTAATGCCTTTGCATTACCATGCACTCATGACACTCTTATTACAAAGCTAATCAAGGGGTTGTGTCTGTTATCTCTTATCTGTTGCTCTCCACTGATGCTGTTTGCTTCTGATAAGGACTTGTGGTTAACTGGCCTTCTATGATAAGAATCCTTGACATAAATTTCAGTCAAATTATGAGATAGAGTTATGGTTTTCATCTAACATATGTTGAAAGATTTGAGGTTTTTCATCATTATTCATTATAGTTTTTTTTTTGATGAGATGAAACATTCATAAACTTGAACCATTTCCATAATTTGAGAATGGTGAATTGCTTCAGAAGATTCCTTTTTATCAAGGCAACATGCTTTTACTTTTTTGTAATCCAATTATTCTTCTAATGATATTAACTGTTAAAAATTGTATCAATAAAATATAACTAAAAATGTTTATTCTTCCTGAAGACACTTGAATTAATTTACCACGTGTCATCAATGCCAGCTGTGGAACACCTTCCACCGTCCGGCCGTGGTGGAGGGCGCCCTCAGAGACTCCCTGGCCAAGCTATTGTTGGTATCAATAACACTTTGGCTTCCATGTAATGTATGTTGAATGCACACTTTTTATCTATTGCATTCGTCTAATTAATAGCTCATGAGAAATGTTCACAAATCTATGTGTTATTCCTGCCTAAACAAATGAATTGGTACTTGTTTATTGAGCATTTAAAATATGAATATAAAAACATACAAGCTCACTACTACTGTATCAGTGGCCAAAATCAGGATAAATATTTATCTTGACTATGGCCACTGAAATATCATTGGCTGATATTCTAACCAGTTTTATTAGGTGTAAAATGTCAGACAATTAAATGAGCATTCATTTTAATCTCTTCAAGGTTGGTTCACTCCCCGTTAATGATCATTTTATTTCTTTAACTCATAATAAGTGTCTAAAATTTTTACAACTTTAATTTCATTGATCATCAAATTGTACTGACATTTTGTTAGGTACTTTCTTTTGCATGAAGATTTTGGTGAAACAAACAATCTGTTGGCCTTCATTCTACTAGTTGATGGAAAAAATACCTATCAATAAACAAAATAACTTGATTCCACTTAAAACAAAGATAATCTTTAAAGGTTTCAGTGTAAAAAAAAACATTTTATAGCATTAGCCTGGAGTGGATCCTGATGTATTGTAACTTATTAATAAAAACTATTCTCTGCTCTTCAACCAAACCTTCATTGTAGAACTACCTACTCCTGCCTGAATCATGCATGCTTTTTGACCACATTTTCCCGTCAGATGAATATCAGAAAATATTATTGGTGCAAATCAATGTAGGTAATTAGGTTGCTGATAATGCCCTCACTTGCCAGTATCGTAACTTATTAATAAGAACTATTCTCTGATCTTCAAATAAACTTGCATTATAGAACTACTCCTGCCTGAATCATGAATATTTTCAGTCAGTTTTCCCATCAGATGAATATCAGTAAATATTATTGGTGCAAATCAATGTAATTAAGTTACTAATAGCCTCCTGCTTTGCCAGGAGGGAGAGGAAAATCAGTAAATAACATGAGTACAAATCAATGTAATTAAGTTACTGATAGCCTCCTGCACTCAACTTGTTTATCTGTTATGAGTTCCTCGCAAATGATCATTACTAGCCAATACCTTCGTGTCCGTAATACAGCGTTAATACAGCACTTTTAGAGCCCGTAATAGAGCGCCTGCTCTGTGTTTTTGTGCACAATTTAGCTTATTGCCAGCATTGTCTGCACAGCTTCTGTAGAGCCGGAAAGCATAACGTGTATCATCTATCAGGGGGTGAAATTTGAAACGCTCCTGATGCAAATTGTGTGATGTAGTTTCTTTTGAGTATATATTTTCTTTGGTATAATACATCACATTATATTCAGTATGTGGTGATTCTTGCATTACCAAGCATGTGGTGGTGCTGGTTCAGAGTTATCCATAGTTGGTGCAGCTTGAGCTGGATCGGTTACTTTTATGTTTGATATTCATTGTTATCATATTTAGCACTATCTGAAGTACCTATATAATAATAACATTACAGGTGGAGAGTCACCCTTACTTAGTGCAGCGGAAGCTCATCGACTACTGCAAGAGCAAGGGCATCGCCGTCACCGCCTACAGCCCCTTGGGGTCCCCTGACAGGTGGGGCTTGGTGGGGGGGAGGGTAACTGTGGGGTTTTGTGGTGGGGGGAGGAGAGGAGGGAACTAGGTGGGTGCAAAGCTTGGTGGGCTGAGTCTCGGTAGCGTAGTCTAGGGTGGGTACGGTACAGGTGACTAGGTGAGGCAAGACTAGGTGTGATAATACTGGTTGGCCTAGTCTTATGTGTTGATGGTGTGGGCGGAGAGAAACTGGATAATGGTTGGTTTAAATGAGGGTGGGCGTTTTCATGTCAAATTCTTGAATCGATGTTCGTGTCGTGTTCACCCTATCCCAAAAGTCTACATCAATGTTTCAAAGTGACTGATGAACTGAAGTTGACCAACTTAGAGTACAATAATATTATTTATCCTACAGCATTTACGTGTGATCTATAATCTGTGTTAAATCTGTGTAGGTATTCAATATCTTATAATGCATATTATCCCCAAGACAATAGGTATAAGGCTATTGTATGATAAGTAACATTAACAACTCCCGACAGGCCCTGGGCCAAACCCGGGGACGTGGAGCTCATGCAGGACCCCAAGCTGGTCGCCATGGCGGCCAAGTACAACAAGTCGGTGGCCCAGCTCCTCATCCGCTTCCAGGTCCTCTTATTTCGTTTGTCTTTGTAGTGTTATTGGATGAGTATAATTAAACACCAGTTATTATGTACACAATATCTTGATATTTGTACACAATAATAATATCTTGTACACAATATCGTTTATTAATTAATCGAATAATGTGTACAAAATTTCGATAGCCCCTATATAGGTGCTTATTTGTTTATCAAACACCTGTTATTATGTGCACAATATCTCGATGGCCCCTTTATAGGTGTTTATTAGTTAATCAAACAGCTGTTATAATGTGCACAATATCTCAAAGATGTCTTTGCACAATATCTTGTGCACGTCGTGGGTGAGTCAGAAGTGGCAGTTTATAATATATTTTTACATGTATAATTACACATTCAGAATATCTGACCGCAATCCCTCGCCCTGTAGATCCAGCGTGGGATTATCTGCATCCCTAAGTCCGTCACCCCCGCCAGGATTGCGGAAAACTTCCAGGTAAGTTTAACGTTCAATTTATTGTGTATGAAATTTACTACTCTCAATTTGTGATTTTTCTCTAAGTAACAATATACACTACACACATAATTATATATGCATTCACTCAACGTATATATGTTCATTCACGTACACTTCTCACGTATGTACGCATCTTCTATCGGCACACACTTCTCAATGTCTTCCTCATCTCTGACATCTCTTAAAAAACGAAGTTTTGGAGTATTTCAGTTACATCGTAGCTGCAAACTAAATGCAATCCTAAATACAGCCTAGTGACGCCACTAGGTCTCCATCATCCTTCACTAGCCTGACGTATTATCACCCCTCACTAGCCTGACGAATCTAGGTCTTCATCTATAAGGTGAAAACTCTAAACCTCCATAATGACTTTTCAGAATAACATGTCGATGTGGATAATGTAACTGCAGGTGAATGAGTGGAAAGTAAAATACCTCATTTTCAATGGTTAGTAAACATTTCAATGGATAATTCATTGTTGTTGCGTTATATTTTCTTACATGCATCCATATTTTTGATATTTACTTTACTTCCTAGTAGGTAAAAGGTCTTACCTTCGCTCATGCAATACAATAACTTCTTGAGAATTTATCACACCAAGACAGACTGTAATATGCGTAATTAATGAACAAATGTATTTATTAATTACGCTTGTAAAGCTATGTAAACGCTTGTAAACCCTTGTAAACCATTTAATTAATTAATTGATTGGCTGTAGGTGTTTGACTTCGATATCTCGGCGGAGGACATGGCGGCCATTGAGGCCTTCGACTGCAACGGCCGCTTCTGCGTCCTCGAAATGTACGTCATTTATATTGGTCATTTATTGATGAATTTTCCAATTAATAATTTTATTGTAAGGTAATGAGTAACTGAAGAATAGAATAGGAAGAATAAAAAAGAAGAGGAAGAATTAAAGCTCGAGCAGAACTGCAATGCAACCTGTTACAAGTTTGTTCATCCCAATAGTTAGATTTCAAATTTACAATTTCGATATTTCTTCATATGTCGAGCTTTTAATACGTGTAATTAAATTTAAAAACTTAGGCTGAAACGTGTAATTTATTTCCAGTTTTACAAACCCTAAGTTATAAAACATCTGGAGGAAATCCTCATTTTTACAGTGAACTCGATAAGAATGAACGTTCTGAAGATGACAAGGGCAATTAATGCCTTGGTAAAATAACATTATTGTAATATGCCTATAGTGGATGTATTACATAAATAAAATTAAACATCGCAGTTAACCTCACCCCCGCCCCTTCATCACAGAGTAAACCCTTGTAAACGCTGGTAAACCCGTGTAAACGCTAGTAAACCCTTGTAAACCTTTTTATTAATTGATTTGCTGCAGGTGTTTGACTTCGACATCTCGGCTGAGGACATGGCGGCCATTGAGGCCTTCGACTGCAACGGCCGCTTCTGCGTCCTCGAAATGTACGTCATTTATATTGGTCATTTCTTGATGAATATTCTAATTAATAATTTTCTGGTGAGGTAATGAGTAACTGAAGATGAGGGAAAATTTAAGCTCGAACAGAACGGAGCAATGCTACCTGTTACAAGTTTTTTTCATCAAATATCTATTTTTTTCGTATTTCAGGCTTCTTAATCCTTGTAATTAAATCAAAGAATTAGGCTGGAACGTATAATTTATTTCCAGTTTACAAACCCTAAGTTATAACACATCAAAATGAAATCCTCATTTTATTAGTCAACCCGATACGAATGAATGTTCTGAAGCGGTCATTGACAACAAATTTCTTGGAATATAACATTATTGTACTATATCCATAATGGACATATAAGAATAAAATTAAATATCCCAGCTAACCTCACCCCCGCCCCGTTCACAGGGACCGAACCCACAAGTACTTCCCCTTCAAGAACGAGGCGTGAGACGTCACTGCACAGCTCCTACTGCACTGCTGCCACTGCAACAACTGCTATAGGTAGCAAGAATATACATTATAGGCACTGCAAACCCATTGAAAAAAATTATGATTAGCTGATGATAAAATACTGACACGGCAGCTTCCGTAACGCCAGTCACTGCAGCAGCTATTGCCACAGCATTAGCAGCTATTGCCACAGCATTCGCCACTAGGTCTCCATCACCCTTCACTAGCCTAGTGACGCCACTGGGTCTCCACCCTTCACAAGCCTAGTGACGCCACTAGGTCTCCATCACCCTCACTAGTCTAGTGACGCCACTAGGTTTCCATCACCCCTCACTAGCCTAGTGACGCCACTAGGTCTCCATAACCTCACTAGCCTAGTGACTCCACTAGGTCTCCATCACCTCACTAGTCTGACACATCTAGTTCTTCATCTATAAGGTGTGAGCTCTAAACCTCCATATAATGGCCTATTTCTTCCATGGGCCCATTTCTTCAGTGCCGTCACTTCTATTCTATTATAATGACTTTTCGCGAATAAAATGTTGATAATGTAGATGTTGAACGACAACAAAATGTATGTTGTCGTTGTAATGTAAATGTTGAAATGTAAATGTTGTAAATGTATGTAATGTATTTACAAAATGTAATGTAAATGTTGAACGACAGCAAAATATATTGCCTCATTTCCAATGTATAGTGAAAATTTCAATGGATTACCCCACTGATTTTGCCTTTATTTTCTTACATGCATCCATATTTTTGATATTTACTATATTTCCTAGTAGGTAAAAGGTCTTACCTTCGCTCATGCAATACAATAACTTCTTGAGAATTTATCACACCAAGACAGACTGTAATATGCGTAATTAATGAACAAATGTATTTATTAATTACGCTTGTAAAGCTATGTAAACGCTTGTAAACCCTTGTAAACCATTTAATTAATTAATTGATTGGCTGTAGGTGTTTGACTTCGATATCTCGGCGGAGGACATGGCGGCCATTGAGGCCTTCGACTGCAACGGCCGCTTCTGCGTCCTCGAAATGTACGTCATTTATATTGGTCATTTATTGATGAATTTTCCAATTAATAATTTTATTGTAAGGTAATGAGTAACTGAAGAATAGAATAGGAAGAATAAAAAAGAAGAGGAAGAATTAAAGCTCGAGCAGAACTGCAATGCAACCTGTTACAAGTTTGTTCATCCCAATAGTTAGATTTCAAATTTACAATTTCGATATTTCTTCATATGTCGAGCTTTTAATACGTGTAATTAAATTTAAAAACTTAGGCTGAAACGTGTAATTTATTTCCAGTTTTACAAACCCTAAGTTATAAAACATCTGGAGGAAATCCTCATTTTTACAGTGAACTCGATAAGAATGAACGTTCTGAAGATGACAAGGGCAATTAATGCCTTGGTAAAATAACATTATTGTAATATGCCTATAGTGGATGTATTACATAAATAAAATTAAACATCGCAGTTAACCTCACCCCCGCCCCTTCATCACAGGGACCGCACCCACAAGTACTTCCCCTTCAAGAACGAGGCGTGAGACGTCACTGCACAGCTCCTACTGCACTGCTGCCACTGCAACAACTGCTATATGAAGAATAAATATATTCTAGGCACCGCAACTTCAATTAAAAATTATGATGTCTAACTNCTAGATGTGTATAAGAGACAGGTCACTACCCAACGAAGCAGTGGCAACGTATGCATCTAGAAGCTAATGGCTAGTAACTCCTCGGTAACTAGTGGCACGTAGTCAGTGGAAGAGCCACAGCGCGACACAGCGCCTGCAAAACTGAAGGCATTCCTCAAATATACTTTTTCACCAGATTTAATTGACGGTCATTTTCCTTATTTCTATGTACTACGGAAAGGGGACAGTTTTTCTTTCTTATTTCTTCAGCATCAGTTTTTTAATTGATTATTTCAATTGAATAATATACCAGAACGAGTTTGATCGTAGCGACTGTAACTAAAATTTCAGTCCTTAATTAGTCCCGCATTTAACGTTCTATATTCATTATTAATTTCGCTACGAGGTGACAAGATTATACGAGGTGATTGTAAGAAAAGAAACTATACATTAGCTGTACAAATGTATGAACAATAGACATTTTCTAGACTAATCTTTGCAATCATTTTTTATGTACCATCAGATGAGATATAAATATCGCAACAGAATTTATGTGACATTCACGAGACTTTTTATGAATGTGCAAGAAATTCAAGTTTATATAAAAAAAGACTAGAAGTACCAGCTCTGTATTTGAGAAAAAATAATCATAATTCAAACTCGTATTTTGACTCAGCCTCTCCCTAACCTCTGTGTACCTTGACATCGTATAACTTCAGCATCAGCTACCGATTTTAACTAACGAAAAGCATGAACCAGCTGAACTTAATATTCGGTCGTACACAAATAGTCTTGATGTGCAGACTTGATAAAAGCATGTGACATTATTTAAATTGACATTCAAATGTTCTGACGATGTGCAAGAGACGTGACGAGGTTCGAAAACGCGAGTTATTTCTTCTCGCAAATGCGCAGAAGATTTTACCTCGTTATTGATGACGTGACGGTTGCACTCTAATTTAGCATAAATCCAAGCTCTGAGGTTTACTGCTTATTTGAAGCTAATTCAGTCACAAATTATCGTGAGATTCACGTACAATTTCTACATTGCATTCAATGCGAATCGCTGAGATTCACCGAGGCTTGCTATCCTGCCGTTGATGGAACATTGGCAGTGTTGTGTTGGCTGGAGGCCGTGGAGGGTAGTAGAAGAAGAGGATAGCAGAAGGGTGGTGGTTAGAGGGAAGGAGGATAGCAGAAGGGAGGTGGTTAGAGGGAAGGAGGATAGCAGAAGGGAAGTGGTTAGAGGGAAGGAGGATAGCAGAAGGGAGGTGGTTAGAGGGAAGGAGGATAGCAGAAGGGAGGTGGTTAGAGGGAAGGAGGATAGCAGAAGGGAGGTGGTTAGAGGGAAGTTGCGGGTTGTGAGACTAGTCAATGGTAACTTAAATTAGTTTAGATTAAATTAGATTACATTTAATTTTTCTATTAGTACCATTCAAAATGTAACTAGTCAGAGTAGGATTCCATGGTATTAACAAGATTTAAAAGGAATCTGTTTGCGGTTGGGTTCAATTTTTAGCCCATTTTCTCATTTATGGAAAAAATGCACTATTGTGCTTGCCATATCCGTCTGTCCGTCCGTCCGTCTGTCTGTCCGTAACCTCAAGTTTTCGTCGACGAGAAAATGCGCTTTATGTCGCTCACTGCAGTGAGTACTGAGTTCTATTTTTTGTAGTTGTAAGGTTGATCTGGTATCCCGCGAGTGGGTTCAAAACGGCGTGCCGAAGGGGTAGTAGGGGCTGTCCTTGAACCTGAACAAACAAAGGAGGAATTGGGAGCAGGAAATGATCGATTAGACTCGCTACAAAAACAATTATAGAGAAAATAAATACTAAAATGTATCTCGTTAATTACATAACTAACTTAGAACCAAGCAAAAATCAATCGTGGAACACCCATCATTCAACGCAATAGTACTAATCACAGATGGATAAAATGAATGAATGTATGCTATTTTTCAATTAAAATTTATTGCCGAGTTGCTTTGCATGTCAAAGAGAAGGAATTTTGGAAATATTTGTATTAAATGTTTGCAAAAATCAATCTCTTTTATAAACACAGCAAAATTGCATACGTATAGAAGGCATAACACATACGTAGGCATTCGGAACTACCAGCAATCACTGTTCCCAGTAGATCATTGATTGTAACTGTGATGGTAGTGAATAACGATGGTACCTACCAGTCACCATGCACCATACGGAAGGGCTTGTTGAGCCCCTCTAAAGCCGCCATATCATCCTGGGATATGGTGAACGACCAGACCTGTCCAACGTAAGTTAGGGGTTAGTAGCCTCCTGGGCCCATACTTTCAAAAAAAGTTAAGAGATCGTAAGTTCATCAGCCAATCATTGACGGCCTTTCAAGCAAAATCCACCAATCATAGACAACACAACGCTATAACAACACGCACACAACGCTATAACAACACGCACACAACGCTTTAACAACACGCACACAACGCTACAACAACACGCACACCTCACACAAAACACTAGAACACAAATCACACAGCAGGCAGCCCCAGCAGCAACACGTCCAACGTTACATCCGGGACCCGAGGGCGGGATGACCTGCCTAGCGACAACTCGGAGACGGAGGACGACGAAGGCGGCGCATCAGCGTGACCGGGGACTAGGAAGTCACTATCTCATCGAAAGGTCACAAGGTCGTATGGTAACAATGTCACAAGGTCATAAGGTCACAAGGTCACAAGGTCATAAGGTCACAAGGTCATAAGGTCATAAGGTCACAAGGTCATAAGGTCACCATCAGGCGCACCTGGAACCTGATGAGGAGTTGCGCGGGGGTGACGTCGTACGAGGCGGCGAGGGCTTTCACTTTAGGGTCCTCCAGCACCACAGGGTCTTCTGACTGCGCCCACGGCCTGGGTAAAGTGGACACAAATAAGTCTTTTTCAATGGCCGTACAATCAATATTTATTTATTAATCATATTATTAAAATTATCATTTTAATATTGTTTTCCATCCAATATCCGGCGGCTCTGGCAACACTCTATCCAAATGGCGTAAGTGAATAACACGTTATGTCCGCGACCTTTCCAACAAAACTAAATAAAAACTAGTGGTTATAGTGACAATCAAATCGTTTGCTTTGAAAAAAGTTACATACATAAAAAAACTAAATAAAAAAAAGTTACATACATTGAGTTAAATACATAAAAAAAAACTAAATAAAAACTAAGTGGTTATAGTGACAATCAAATCATTTGCTTTGAAACATATTACATATCATTGAGAATCGCAACTTAGCAGCTACTGGAGGAAGGTTGAGTAAATGGTAACATGTGGAACAGCCTCCCTGATAGCATTGTTGACGCTTCGAGTATGAACGCCTTCAAAAACAGACTAGACGAAGATATGCAGGAGCATATGTTCAGTCTTAAAATGCCTAGCAAATTACGGACCAGGCAATAAGTCCAGCAGCTATCTCAATCAATCGTCAGCTATAAAAAGATCGGGTTCCAAAGGCCGGATCCCTTGTGAATCAAGTCACGAAAAGTTCAAGAATCGGCAACAGGCCATGGGCCTATTTCTCCAACGCCGACACTTCTATTCTATTCTATATTACCTTTTCGGTGCCCCCAAGGGGCTGTAGGCGGTGACGGCGATGCCCTTGCTCTTGCAGTAGTCGATGAGCTCGCGCTGCGTCAGGTACGGGTGGCTCTCCACCTGTAATGTTATTATTATATTCTTCAGACAGTGCTATGTATGATAACAATGAATATCAACATAAAAGTAACCACATGAGCTCGCGCTGCGTCAGGTATGGTAGGCTCTCCAGCCTGTAACACGCTTGGTAATGGTACTATTATATACTGATAGCATATGCTGCTTATATACATCTATATTACCATGTATTTTGCCAGAGCTATGCATTTACTAATGATGAAAATGTAGCAAAAGAAGCTGCTCAATTGCACCTGAATGCAAGATTAGTTTTTAAATTCTCATTACCGGTAGTTGATTTCACCGCCTAGTTATTGGCAGGTGGGCACATTTAATATTAGTTATTTAACCACCTGGTTGTTGACAGGTGGGCACATTCAATTGGTTATTTAACCACCTCGTTGTTGACAGGTGGGCACATTCAATTGGTTATTTAACCACCTGGTTGTTGACAGGTGGGCACATTTAATAAGTTATTTATCCACCTGGTTGTTGACAGGTGGGCACAGTCAATTGGTTATTTAACCACCTGGTTGTTGGCAGGTGGGCACATTTAATTAGTTATTTAATAGTTATTTAACCACCTGGTTGTTGGCAGGTGGGCACATTTAACTAGTTATTTAACCACCTGGTTGTTGGCAGGTGGGATGCTGCACTTGTCAAGAATTCTGTCAATTTGTGGTGCGCTGAAATTGGACACGCCAATAGCCTTGGCAAGCCCAAGCTTGGCAGCTTCCTCCATGCCTTGCCAAGTTTCAACAAAGTCCACGTCACTGAATATATGCTTGCCATGTTCATCCAGGGGGTGAAGCTCGCCAGTGCCTTCCTGTCAAGTTCATCACAAATTTGTTGAATTGATAAAATCAAAAGTTCTTCTTTAAACAGTATCATTAGCATGCATTTTTTCACTTGTTTTTTTTTTTATTGTATAATAGGAATACTAGCAATGTCAAAATGGAACCTCACCTGAAATGCATCAGCAATGATTTGGCTATAAATTATTATATATAATATTATCATATTTTCAGATATTTTATTACCATCAAGCAAAAGAGCAATGGCAATACATGTATAAAATTTGCAGTACAAATTTTTTGAATTTCAAATTTTAGCTACAGGAGTTTTGACCTGTTACAAAATACTATATGCAAAAGGAACACCTTATAAGCAAAAATCTACATTGAACTATTTTGAAACACATCAATAAAAGCAATAAACTCTGAAGACATACGTGCTTTCATGATTGCCTATCATTAGAGCCATTCAAATCAGATGTAGATAAAAAAAACATATGCTGATGATGATCCTTATACTTAAATACACAACTGTAATAAAAGTTTTGAAAATTGCAACTTCAATGTAGGTATACAAAACGATATTGGCTATTAAAATTACACTCATGACTATAATTTATGGTTAATACGACATACATATTAAATAATAAGTGTGTTGTATTAACGTAACAAGTAATAATGAAATACAATTATATTCAAACCTAATAATTACTTTGGTTAGTATTTTTTAGCAAAGCTAGGGAACCTTGAAGCCAACTGGCCAGTGAATGAGGTAGAGGTCCACATAGTCCAGTCTCAGGTCGGCCAGGGTTTGTTGTAGCGCTGGTACCACAGACTCTCGGCTGTGAGTGGTGCTCCACAACTGCACAATTTTTTTTAACATTAAAGAGTTATAAACAAAGTTGAGAACATTTAAAATAAGTTGACTTAATTGTAATTATTGTTATACACTGAATAAAAAAAAAATTTTTCCTATGTATACTCTTGGTGTCATCTAACATTTACCACATTGTTTGCCTGAAGCTTCAATAACATCATCAGCTGCATAAGTACTATTGATGTTTAATTACCTTGACATTAAACCAATTAATTTAGTTGTTCAATTAGTATGACAATTCAGAACAGTTCGTAGCTAAATTATGTCTCCAGCTAAAAAATGAACAATAGGTGGTTATAAATAAAACGCAAGGTAAATGTAAAAGGAGTGTGACAAGTTAGCATGATTAATATCTGGTCAGGGAACATTATTCAAGAATATATCAATATTAAAACAAGACACATTAAATATATTGGACCAAAGTTAACAAGGAAATTGGATGATTTATGGGATAAGATGCCTGTTGCCTGGCAGTGATTTACCAAGAGTAAAATTATCTTTGAAGTTCAAAAATACTCAATACTTTCTTCACTTTGGCAATCTTCAATTCAGCTAACAAACTAAGATTGGATAGACCTGTTGAATCTCAATAAGTACATTAGTAGTACAGAGGTGTTAGATACCACCGTATTCAGGTTTGAATGAAGACCATGTTCAGCCCCCACCTCAAAAAAGGCCCTAATTGACCTTCTTTGCCTCAGTACTTCAGAATATCCTTTGTCTGATAACAAAACACCGTATATTGACAAATTAACGGCGTTGTCATGGGATGCCCTCTGGGTCAAAATTTTGCAGAATTTTTACATTTGTGAACTGGAAAATCAAGCGTTAAGTGGGTACTCAATGCACAGATCAAGTCTGAGCTTTACTGCAGATATGTAGATGACATTTTCGTTGTTATTCAAGACAAAAAGCATTTTATTGAACTGCCAGAAGCTTTGGAACATGATTCAGTCTGAAAGCTCACTCATGAAATGGGACAAAATAGCAAATTACCATTCCTAGGTAAATTAGTGCAAATTCAAGATAGTTCCTCTGTCACAAATGTTTGCCAAAAATCTATCAATGTTGGAAAAGTGCTAAACAAAGAAAGTGAATGCCCTCAATGCTATAAAACCAGCACTGTACGCGCTCTCATACAAAAAGCATTCAAGACATGCACATACAAGAGTGATTTGAAAACTGAACTCAGAACTTGCAAACAAATCCTAGGAAATAATGGGTTTTTAAATACGTAGAACAGTTTACACTGAAATATCAAGTTATCAATCATGAAATAACTGAACTAACAATGAAGCAATAACTTATGGAACGGCCACAACAATCTTGTACCAAAACCATATGAACAGAGATTACAAAGTAGATGAACGAGTCCTACAATCAATCATCCATAATAATATCGTTATCATTATCACAACGGATAATGAAAAAATATAAATTTTGATCTACTACAAAAATAAGAAAATAAAAAACCTTGTCATGAATAATAATGCCTGCAAAAAATCTGGACTGCATCAAGAAACTAATATTATTCATAAATTTTCATGCAATATAGAAGATTGCAGACTTCTTCAGAATACCGTATGAACTACATTGGTCTTACTAGCATGACCCTAAGCCGCCGACTCACATGCCACCTACAATCTGGAGGACCTAAGAACCACATGCCGGAGGCTCACAATGAGACCATCACCCGAGCGACATTGGAGGCCTGCATCAGCATAGTTATGCGGTGCCCCGACCCATCGAGACTGATGATAGCTGAGGCCCTCATTATCAAGAGCGAGTCTCCAGCTATCAACCTCAAACCTACCTACACGATTTGTCTGGATGTTGAAATTATTTTAAGTAATTTTAAACTAGCTTACATTTCAAATTGCATCCACAATACCCTTATTTTGTAGTAGAGTGCTGTCATTTCTAAAAGTTCAATTTGAAATTGTTGCATTGAAGAACATTTCAGTATTTGAAATGTTGCATTCCATTAAAATGTCATTTAGTAACACCTGAAAATGATCTCCCCGCATCAGCAAGAAATTTTGTTCAGCTCATTGAAAAAACATATAAGATTATTAATAAAAATAAGCTCTGGTCTTCAATCAGACTTGCATAAAGAAAGCTTTGGCTGTATTAAGCTAAAGGTGTATACATATATATATAAGATAGCAGAATAAGCTTGTTTAAACACGGGTACCGGTAGTTAATGACCAGAGAAATCATCGATTCAAATTTTAAGGGTCAAACAATAATTTTTCAGATGACCTTGGTTGATGATAAATTTGATCGACCAACATCAAGATATTTGATCAAGATATTTTGATCAACCAAAGTCATCTGAAAAATATTGTTTGATCCTGAAAATTTGAATCAACAATTTCTCTGGTCATTAACTACTACTACCCGTGTTTTAACATATATAGGTACATATATGTACATACCAACCTTGCTTGTAATGAAAAGCTCCTCTCTCTTCACAATTCCTTCTTCAAAGGCACTTTTCAGAGCATCTCCAATTTCCTTTTCATTTACGTAAATCATTGCGCAGTCAATATGGCGATAACCGATGTCCAGAGCATTCTTTATGGCTTGCCCAACTTCACCAGGCTCACTCTGAAAAAAGTGGTATGCATGAATTTCGACCATTAGATTAATATTTATCATATTTTGTAGAAAAATTCATTTCTCTGCGTTCAGTAGCTAGTTCCCTTAAACAGATTGCATCCTCCTGGCTATGGGGACCAGATGTCACATGTTCTAGAAAGTGTGATCTGTATGGGAATTGGTGCCATTTGAATCAAAACTAATTAGTTGAAATACATAATGTCAGTTTGAATTATTTGAAATACGTATAGTCAGTTTGAATTAGTTGAAATACGTACTGCAACTAAATTTCTTGCAATGAATAGGAAAGTTCTACAATAAATATCAGACAAATCATTCTGGTAAGCCATCCATGCTCATGGCTAGTATATAACTTGTACACATAAGGGGCCTAACCTAAATATAGAACCTTACATCTTGAGAATTTCACCAAGGCAAATTACCTACATGTCACAGCCTATTTTATCTAGCATTTCTTAGAAAGCACCCACTAGAGACATGTTTTAAATGCTTTTAGAAGAATCTATGAAATGTCAATCAAATGATTATTTTCCAAGTACCATCTGCATTTGAGAAAAAATTAGAGAAGCTAGTAAAAATGACACGTGAGTCAACACAACACTATGGATCAAGTCAAGATAATCACTAAAAAATTAACCACATAAAAAATTGAAAAAAAAACTTTCGCAAAGTACCTACCTAGCTTGGTGCAAGAAAGAACTTTTTTATGTGATGATAATGATTTTTATGTTATGATAATGATGTGATAATGTGATGATATTTAAATTATGCATTTAAACAGAGGAAACATGAAAAAATACTGTATCATATGAACACAAACTAGGTAGGTAGTCAAACTGAAACCTGAGAAGCTATAAATTTATTTTCAATTTTAAATTATGACCTGAAAATTTACCCATTTTTGTACATGTTATGAGATTTTCTTACCAATTACAAGCTGAAAATTGGGACTAAAAAAATCTAATTGGAACTAAAAAAAAACATTTGGATCAGAGCTCTGACAGCTCTATGGAATGTAATATGGGTGCAACTGATATATATGAATGGTACAATATTGTCTGAATTAAAATATTTCAGTTTTTCATAGTTTAGACACTGAAAGTATCTTACATCAAAAATTTCTCCCATCAATAGAAGAAAATTATATATTTGGGGCTGGAGAAGTATACCTATTTCATCATTTAGAGATAAATATCAATCATAACAGCGATGAATAACAGTCATCAGTAATAGAGAATACCCTGGGCTGGGGCTAAGCTAACCTTAGCACTCACCTCAGCTGGCAGTGGCCCTAGAAAATTATCATCAATATTAAGCATATAAAGAAATCTCATACTAATATTTTATCCCTAGAAATTACACCCAGAGCTAGCTACAGATAATAGACCCTGGCCTAGCCCCAGGCTAGACAGTTTTCTAGCTTAGGCTAATTTAACTAGCACCATCACACTGACACTCACAATGGCATACCGGACATAAGACATTGCAATTGTCTTTTTAGCAGAGCTTATAAAATATGCACATATAATTGATGAATCCAGAAATTCATAGAGCATGCACAGAGAATCCAAATTTTATCCAAAATCCATATGGTTAAACTGTATAATGTTGACCACAAGAAGTTCTGCCTTTCAGTTCAGCTTTCTTGTTGCGTCACTGAGATCAAGAAATGTAAACAAACCCGTCATTCCCATGACGGATTGATTGACTGGTTTGAATGCATTTTGGTGATTGGTTAATGCCCGTGACGTCACTGGGATCAGTGACATCACATGTGAACAACAAGCTCCATCCGTGAAAATGAGCCTCTCATGGGTCAACCTTATACTAGTTCAACCATGTCTAAGATCTATGTTTTGTTACCTGACAAAAATCATAAATAACTTTTTCCATTAAACTTTGTGGCAACATTTCCAAAATGCAATTAAGCTTATAAACAATAAAACTTCATAATAAACAAGATGGCATGGTTACAATTGAGATTTTATGTTTTCATACACACATTAACCAAATTAAGCTGTCAGTTAATTGTGGAGATAAACAAATGCCCACCACGCAACAAGACCAAAACTGATGGTCCCCCATATTGCCTCTTTTTTTATGGTGCACGCACTGTTTATGCACATACCTACTAAAAGGAAATTGAAAAGATTTAAATTATTTTTTGAAAATTTTCAGAGATAATTCATTTTTAAAACTTGGCTTCTATCAAAATTCTGTATTTGATCAGAATTTCAAGGTTTTAAGCCAATTTACCAAGCATGGAAAATGAGGCCAAAGGTAGCAAAACCACCATCAACATAGTGGCAAACCAGGAATTTTTGAGAATCAGTTCATTATTAATTTCCCCATCTACTCAAGAATATCTTACAAACAAACAAAGAAGAAGCAAAGTTAAAGAGAAGTGTTGTAAAAATTACTTTTTAAAGACAACACTTGTAAAGAGCCAAAGAGGCCAATGTCTCTAATTTTACACATTCAGATTTTAAAAATTATTCAAGAAGCCAAGAAAAAAATGAAATTAAGTTAGTAAAGTTACTAAATTATGAAATTAAGTTACTAAATTCACAATGTGAATTTAGTTTGCTACTTGTTTGTACTTTTGTTTTAGGTTTTGAACTGATGATTGATGGAGCTGGCATGGTGCAATTCTATAGGTTATTCAAAAGTAACTGGTCTTATGTCATTTTGAACCGATCAACACTTCTTTATGGACCGATCGTAAAACACCTTCATTGGCAAAAGCTTTCACACTTCTGAAGAGAGGTGAGCTGAGCAGCTGACAGCTACACTGGCCGTGGGTGGGCCTTATTTGAATTTGAA